AAAAAAAAAAAAAAAAAAAAGCAAGCAAGCCAAAAACAGTTACAAGGTGGGAATAAGGCTTCAAATACCTAAATATTTTGAAAGTAGGTGTGAGGAAAATGAAATCAGGCTAAGCTTGGGCTGAGTGTCCCTCAGCCAGCCACTGCCATGGTGTACCCTCCACAACTATCTTTTTATGCTTGGTCTCAAAATAAGTACCAGAAAGGCTCTCACCTCTGGCACAGGACATAAATTCCTACTATAGAAAAGATAACTATACATCAGCAAATTATGTTCTGAGCTTAGCGTTCTCCAGGCTTTGTAACAGAGCTCAGGTTGAAGCTTTCTATGAAATTCTCTATTTGATACTGTTATAGCGCTGGCTTATGATTTGCCAATTAAAAAAAATAAAAGAGTATAAAATTAAATATTACAGAACTAATGAATAAAATGGAATATTTGTTAGAATCCAAGTGCTAGCCTTTGGGAATTTTTAATGATCTTCATTTACTCCCAAACTTTCTTTTTTCTTATAAATTATTTTTTTAAGCAGCACATATTACATAGATTTAGGTAGGAAATTTTGTTAAATACCTCTCTGGCACCAATTACCTAATCTAAGACTCGGACTTGAATTAATTTATAATGGTATCTAATCCACATTCAAGTGAGATTAATAGTAAATGATAGAAAGTAACTGAGTCTACAGGCTAAAATTTTCTTCACATCTTCTGTAGTCCACCTTATTTTCACAACTTGACTAACAAATACAGGTAACCAGTAGATAAATTTGTCCTTCATCAAAGAATCCAAAATAATAACCGTAGGCCTGTCATTCGTAAGAAACTATAATTTGTTATATTCTGACATTGGCACTTAAAAAAATGTTAACAACTAAAGTTTCTCTAAAAATTTCAATACATTACAATAAAGGAGATACACAATTTAAGACTTTAAATCTGTTACTGTGAAATTCCAATAATTCCCATTTTATTATGCATAATTAGATCTTTAAAATTGTGGCCATTCCCCAAAGACACCAACCTATATTACGACACACTCAGGAGAGAACTCATCTCCTTCATAAGAATGGTTTTTTTTTTTTTTCCCCCAGCTAAAAATTTCTAATATCCTAAACCCAATCACTCTTGGTAAACATTTTGGTGACTCACACTACTGAAAATAATTTGAAGCAGAGAGCTGAAAAGAATGGAAATGACCTCAACCAAAGGTAACTACACATTCTTGTACCCTGCTTAAACACTTAGAAAAGTCAAAGGGATACTTTCTTGAACAAATATAGATTCAAGGTCATGGTACAATTTTGATTGTATTAAGGCTTTGCTATCATGATCTCTTTTAAGTCTCTCCACTTTAGTGTTCTCATTTTGATTCTTATGGTGAACATAAATGGTTATTAAGGGACTTGTTTTGGCTTTTCAGTGGGCAAACACTCTATCATCTCTCAATGTTTAAGGTGATCCCACAGAGCTCAAAGAGAAGAGGCAAAATGGTAAGGGAACAACTTGAAAGTTTGCAATACCAAGACAATGATCAACACTTTGAAGCAAGATGAATAAATTAAAATTCTTGGTTAGACATTAAAGCATTCTTGCCAAGAATAAGTGTACGCTGTATGGAGGGATAGTTGATTCCTACACATGAGTCCCAATATGCCCATTACATTTGTTTATGGGAGACACTGCAAGTTTAAGGTAATTTACATTCCTTGGCAATCAAGTTACTCTGTTATAGGCAATGTCTTTTATTGTTCCATCTGGCACTTGCTAACACCATTCTTGAAGAACCTAGAAATGAAGGTCAGTCACTCTGTTAATCAGGAACAGAACCAAATGAAAACAAATTTTTGGAAAACGACCAAAAAATTCTGGTTCATCACTATTTTCCATACCTAACGGTTCCTTCAAGATAAAACGTTAACTCTTCCTTCCATGATAGCTTTCAACAAAGGGAGATTAAAGAAAAAAAAAAAAAAGAAAAGAAAAGAAAGTTCCCCATCTTACCCCCCTAAATTGTCATTCGTACTGGTGAAAGAGCCAGTCTTGTTAGCAGCTAAATATTGCACTGCCTTTCATTCTGTGTACAGTCAGGGTCCAATGAAAGTGGCACACTCATTGTCTAAGTGATGGATGATGACACTGCCGGCTCAAGAGTGAAGACTCAGTATATGGAGGGACAAGAAACATGTCAGCACTAATCACACATCCAGTTGCAAAAGTCTGGTTTCCGGAAGTTAAAACTCATCACTTTCAGCTGCATGAAGTTGTGTGTCGTCTGCGTCTGTCATGCTGCTCTCCTGGGATTCATCTGTTCCCACTTTAAAAATAAAACAAAAGTCTACAGTAAGGTGTCTGATGAATATTTCTTGTTGGTTCATGAAAACAAGGGAGACTATTCTACGTAGAGATGAGATCTTAAATTAAGGCCCTTAAAATCCTGACATCCTTCAATCAAATGCAATTCAGATTCCTTATTTTACAGCATGTCTGACAAGACTGGTTTACTGCATTTAACCTTTAAGAGTTTTAACAAAGCTACCTCTCCCTAATAAATTCCTTATTCCAACACTAGGAATTAGAACTAGTTCTCCATGACATTAAAAAAAGACTGACATTCCCTCCAACTGTTGACTCCACTCTGGGAATAGTCCCTGCTAGTCCACAGAAATATAGAATATAACCCTCAGTTCAAAAAGGGTTATTGGGATTATAGGAATTATAATTTTAATTACAGCCTTTTGCCAAGTTTTCTGGAAAAAACCATCTTAGTTTGCCTCATCAGAAGTTTCTCAATTCTCTTACTAAAAAATACTATTTTTTTAAAAAAAAGTATTTATTTACTTGAGAGAGAGCACATGTGCATGAGTGAGGGAGGGGCAGAAAGAGAGAGGGGGAGAGCGAGAATCCCAACCAGGCTCTGTGCCGTTAGTGCAGAGCCTGACGCGGGGCTCAATCTCGTGAACCATGAGATCATGACCTGAGTCAAAACTAAGGGTCAGACGCCTAACCGACTGAGCCACCCAGGTGGCCCTAAAAAAATACTATTATATGAGGACTTAGTTCTCACTACTTATTTTAAGATATATACTCAATTTAGGGATAGAGTATTTACTACTGCCTTAAACTCTGTTCCTTCCTCTTGACCCTTCAATTAATACATATAAGCCATATTTTTGGATTGTGAATTTGCCAGAGCTTCATAGAATTTGAATAGTTACTGCAGATCTGTCAATACTTTAAAATGTGCAAAACTGGGGCCCCTGGGTGGCTTAGTCGGTTAAGCATCTGACGTCGGCTCAGGTCATGATCTCAAGGTTCATGAGTTCAAGCCCCGAGTTGGGCTCTGTGCTCAGCTCAGACCATGAAGCCTGTTTTGGATTCTCTCTCGGTCCCCCCTTCCACGTTACTGCTCTGCCTTTCAAAACTAAATAAATGTTTAAAAAAAATTAAATATATTTTTAAAAATGTGCACAAATTTATTATTCATTTACTTATCACTTATAATGTCTTCCACATATTGTCACATCTATCATCCTGCCCATCCCACTCTGAATTCCTATGAAGCAGATAAGGCAGGCAGGCATTAGTTACATATTTAAACTTAAACTGAGGTCCAGGTAAAAATTTGCCAAGGATTTGTTAAAGTCACACAGCAAATTAGGTTCAAAACCGAGACTAGTTACCTGACTCCACATGCACTTTGTTAATATATTGCCATAATTTAATTTCCCTAAAATTCCATTTGGTATAAAGAATATACCATGGTTAGAAAAACAAATTAGGGGTGCCTGGGTGGCTCAGTTGGTTAAGCGTCCGCCTCTTGATTTTGGCTTAGGTCATGATCTCAGGGTCATGAGACTGAGCCCCATGTTGGGCTCAGCATGGAGCATGGAATCTGCTTGGGATTCTCCCTCTCTCTCTGCCTCTCCCCAACTTGTTCTCTCTCTCTCTCTCTCTCTCTCTCTCTCAAATAAACTTAAAAAAAAAAAAAAAAAAGAAAATTATAAAGCAGCCTACAAATTCTTATGCAAAAGGTAGCTTTCTGAATACTCAATACTTGAAAAAATGTTTACTCTGTGTCATAAAGAAATATCTGTACTGCTCTGCCTAACTCTGAGTTGATGTTTTACTAGCCCTCTGGTTTGATACACTTAGAAATCTAATTCATATGGATGGTACTCACTGATTTGTTCTTCTTGGGTTATTGGCTCCTCATCATCTGGAAGGTAGCGCTTGTCAATTGCCTCTTTAATCTGGTTATTGGCTCCTTTAGGATCTAAATCCATAGCCCAAGAGAAATTCATCAGGGCGAGGTGCGTTTGACCTAACTTCTTGTAAACCTAAAAATAAACAGCAGCACTACATTTTTCATTAAGTTGTGAACTTCAATTATAAAATCCTAAACATTAACAATTTAAATAGGCTTCTAATTTACACGCTGTAAACCCATTCTGATGAGTAGGTCATTTTCATCCTACAGAAGAACTCAGACTAACTTTTGAGTTACTTTTGATATAATCAGATATTTTCAGAATTCCTTGTCTCTGTCTCTCCAGTAGTGAGCTTCCAATAAATCACATTCTGATTGGATCAATGACAATTGAAAGAAACGGACTATAAGCTGCTTGATTAGCAATTCATTTACACTGATTTCAAATGTTGTTATATCAACTCCGAACACCTGTCCACCGTTCTCAGCCTCCTTAACCAGTTGGCATTTAGGGGCCCAGTCTGTAAAGTCCTTACTAGTCTGGCTTTGGAAATCTCGGGAGTCGTTTCTTCTAATTAAGACAACACCAGCCATTAATTTACTTTTTGGGGGGGATGCCTACATATTTTATGGATAATTGGAAGCTAAGAGCTTTCCAAGATATAGTCTCAGTTATGAACTCACGGCCACTGGCTGCAAGTGCTAATATACTTCCAAAACCATAGTATGGTTAGGATATACGGTGTATGTTCTTATTCCTTCATCAGGATATCATCTTCTTAGATCTTATAACTAACTCTGTTCTTCATTCCCAGAGCATTTAGTTCAGAGATCTAGTTGAATTTGCTCAAGAGATGTTGCATAATACGTATAATATTTCTCCTTCAGAAGTTAATGTTTGTTATAAAAGTCACAGTTTAGGACCTTGGCCCCAATCTTTACCTTTCCTATTAAGAAGTAAACGAGGGATTCTTTGGGAACAATTTGTTTCAATTCTTCAAGTTCTTGTAAAGCAGACTGAAAAAAGCAAAGAAAAACAGAGTAGCAAAATTTTACAAAGTTCTAACTAAGCAAGTATTATTTGATTTCCCAAATCATCTTAACTAAAGCTTACTAGATCTTTATCAATGCACTTCCTTATTGCATTAATTCTTGTCATGAAATAAAATGCATGAAAAATACTTATGACAACAGGGACTAAGAAATGGCAGGAATTCACCAGAGTACACTGAGAACACACACACGCAGGTGGTGACAATACTTGCTTTGGTCACCGTTTTATATAAAATAACAATGCTCCATTACACTGTGTGTGTAAGAGCTTTGGAAACTCAGTTGCAGAACAAAATAATTCCGAAATTCTGTTCATAGACCTTCTTCCTGATGCAAGCACCAAGCTTTGAATACCAACCTGCTATTTTAACTAATGATGAAGAGTCTAAAATTTAACCCTCTGAATTAAGTCAAAATTGTCTACAAATCTTTTGACCATCGCTAAAGGGGTTGGGGAAATTGAGAGAAAAGATAGAGAAATAAGATTTGTATTTAAAAGAAAGACATGATGATCAAAAATAAAACTGGGTCCCCAATTGAGATACTGTCTGCTTTTCACCTAAGCAAATGGACAAAAATAAAAATAAACTTTGATATATAAAGTTACTATGACTGAGGGGAATGAGGCATTCTCATCACTGAAGGTGGAAATGTGACCTGTTGCAAAGCCTGTTTGTGAACTCTATTTAGCATTATCTATTATGTTAAAAACTGCATGTAACCATTAATTCAGCAATCCTGCTGCTAGGAATTTATCCCAGGGACATATTCAAAAAAGTTCATTAAGCCATCTTTGTAAGAACATCCCATTCAACATGTTACTGCAAATCATTAGAAGCAATGAAGGTGTGTCTAATCATAGCCTAGTTAAAATAAATTATGGTCCATCCTCTATGGAACACTAGATCTGTAGGTACTCAACTCTATGCTAAAAAAAAAAAAAAAAAAGATACAATAAAGTATGTGCAATACTATTTCTTTTGCAACAAAACATATATATGACACATATACAAATAGTTATGTGGGTATTCTCATAAACACTTTATAAATACACTTATGTGAGCACATATATGTTTCCTTTTTTTTCTGGCAGAAATCAATACCTATATGCCCCTAATCAAGGTAAAGGTGGCTTACCTTTGGAGAGGGGATGACTGAGGTAAAGGGGAAGACTTTCTATTTTTAACATGGTAGCTTTCTCAATTTTTTGAATTTTCTAAAACAAATATACTTTATTTCTCTTTAATGTCCATAGAGATTATCTACTTTTCTTCTCTATGCATACCTCTTTGTAGTAAAACAAAATCCAAAGTAAGTCAGGTTAAAAAAAAAAAAAAAAAGATAAATACCAAATATCCATCCACAGAAATGTTAAAGTGGAAGAAAAAGCAAATTACAGAATATGTGTAGTTGTATTAGCTTCTTATTTTGTCATAACAAATTACCACAATTTTGATGGCAAATAAAACAAATTTTTTTATCTTATAGTCTGTGCATTAGAAATGCAACTTGAATCACACTGGGCTAAAATCAAGGTGTCTTCCTTTCTGAGGGTTATCTGTTTCCCTGCCTTTCTTCCCAGACTTTTTAAAGGCTGCCCACATTTTTTGGCTTGTAGCCTTCTCACGCTGGTTCTGACCACAGCTGGCAAAGATCCTCCATGTGATCTTTAAGATCCATGTGATTAGACTGGGCCCACCTGAATAACACAGGATACTCTCCCCAACTCAAGGTCCACATCCTTAATCACATCTGCAAAGTTTCTTCTGCCGTGTAAGGTAACATAGTCACAGGAACCAAGGATTAGGGCCTGGACATCCTCGAGGGGTCAATACTCTGCCTACCACAGTAGTGTAAGCCTACTTTGTTACAATTAAAAATATGTACATGATGAGAAAAACATCTAGAGAAGTGTGTTCTGAGTTGTTAATAATGCTCCTCCCTTGGAGGGTCAGCTTATAAGGCACATTCAACCTCGTATTTTTTTTATACTTTCATATTATTTGAGTTGTTTGGTAACAGGCCTATTACTTTCATAAAAAGCCCCCACCAAGATACAAGGACTAAAGCAGTGATCAAAGATAGTGGGCTAGCAAATGTATCAGAGGATTATAGAATTTAGGTAACATAAGGGGATTTATACGTTGATTGGTATGAGACTTTAGTTTTATTTCTCTGAAAAGGGTGGAAAGGAACCAATCTTACTTCCCAGTTATAAAAAAGTTTAATACAGTCCCATCCCACCCTCCCTTCACCTAAGGCCAAATGTAATTTCTTGGCTTTTGTAAGATTTTTACTGGCATTATCTAAAATGAAAGGTTCATATACAATATTTTTGTGGAAAGCAGTGTGAAAGTAGCCGTGTGGTAGATTCCACAGATTCATTACCATACTAGAGTGATGTGTGACATTTTCTGTAATAAAAAGGATTGAGAAGAGAGTAAAGGCACACACACACACAAACGCGCGTGCACACTCTCTTGGGACAGTGTGTTTGTGTAAAAGGCTGTGTTTTTTTAAAAAAAAATTTCTTTTTTTTAACGTTTATTTATTTTTTTGGGACAGAGAGAGACAGAGCATGAACGGGGGAGGGGCAGAGAGAGAGGGAGACACAGAATCGGAAACAGGTTCCAGGCTCTGAGCCATCAGCCCAGAGCCTGACGCGGGGCTCGAACTCACGGACCGCGAGATCGTGACCTGGCTGAAGTCGGACGCTTAACTGACTGCGCCACCCAGGCGCCCCAAAGGCTGTGTTTTTTACACAAGTATGTAGGGAGCTCTGGTGCAGCCTGAACATTTCACATGTTCCTAACTGCTGGCAACCCACGAGAAATAAACTCAAAGGACCGCTGGGCTGAATGGGTCTGAGAATCACATCTGCCTGTCTAGGAATGGAAGATTTACTACGTGTGGTAAGTCTACGAGGTAGACTGTTCTCTTTTCCTTCCATACTAGTAAATATTGTAAAATATACACGGAATAAAGTCTCAAGATAAAAGATCTGTGGTCATGGATATTAGTTACTTAACGATCACTGTTACACCTGTCCGACATTACTGACAGGGACTGATGAAGCCTGTATCACAATGAAGAAGCCTGGGACTGACTTTTAATACCACAGAGAAGCAGTTCTCACACTTGTTGGGTCTCCAGACCTCTTTAAATTTTTTTTTTTTTTTCAACGTTTATTTATTTTTGGGACAGAGAGAGACAGAGCACGAACGGGGGAGGGGCAGAGAGAGAGGGAGACACAGAATCGGAAACAGGCTCCAGGCTCTGAGCCATCAGCCCAGAGCCCGACGCGGGGCTCGAACTCACGGACCGCGAGATCGTGACCTGGCTGAAGCCGGACGCTTAACCGACTGCGCCACCCAGGCGCCCCATCCAGACCTCTTTATACTCTTAACGTTTATTGAGGAACCTGAAGAATTTTTGTTAATGTGGGCTATAGCTATCAATACTTACCATATCAGAAATTAAAACTTGAAAAGCTTAAAAAATATTTATCCATTAATTTAAAAGTAACAACAATAAAGCCATTACTTGTTAACATAGATAATATCTTTTTAATGAAAAATAACTTTTTCAGAATAAGTCAATAAGAATAATGGCATTGGTTAATATTTTTGCAAATCTCTGGTTGATAGAAAATAGCTGCACTCTCTTATCTGCTTCTGCATTCAATCCATTATGTCATGCAGCTTTTGGAAAATTCCACTGTACATTCGTGAGAATAAGAGTGAAAAAGGCAAATCACATCTAAATATTATCATGAAGATAATTTTGACCTTGTTTACTCCTTGAAAGGATTTCTGGGGACCTCCAGATGTTCTCAGACCACACGTTGAGATCACTGCTTTAAAGCAATCTTAATCGGAACAGTGCACTCCAATCCTTCGCTGCTACACCACACACGGTTCAGAACTGGCAGCTTTTCTAACTGTGTGTTGTAATTGTTATAAAAAATTTCATGCATCTATCATACCTCCCCACCTTGATAATCTAATTACAAAGACTCATTGAGAAACAGTGTCTAACATAGTGTCAGAGTTCTCATTTTTGCCCTAAAAAGACTTAAGATTTATAGCACATTAAATGGGGTGATATTAGCAATGCTTTTGCCACAGAGAGATTGAGGTGGCCCTCTAACACCATTGGATTTTCATTTTGGAGCCAAGACATCTTGGAAGCAATCAGTAACTTTTACTTATGCCCCTTTTTATATTATTTTAATATAGGTATACTGGATACACCGTGCTTCAAAGTAGGTCTTATAATTTAGCTGATACTCAAAAATGGCTATGACCATTATAACTTGAACAATGGGAAAGATTAGAACTTGGGCTTCTTGAAGCAAGTACAGGGCTGACTTAAATGGCATAATATCTGGTAGGTGTGTTGGCATTAAAATGCCTTTAAGAATAATTGAATAAAATCCTTCAACTGAGGAACCTGACCCCATATCTAAAGAGGTTATAGGGTGCCTGGGTGGCTCAGTTGGTTAAGTGGCTGACTCTTGGTTTCGGCTCAGGTCACGGTCTCATGGTTCTCATGGTTCGTGTTTGGGCTCTGTGTGGGGGGCTGTGTTGACAGTACGGAGACTTCTTGGGAGTCTCCCCCCTTACCCACCCCCCATCCTTCCCCTGCTCACTCTCTCTCAAAATAAACAAATAAACCTAAAAAAAAAAAAAAAAAAAAAAGAGGTCCAATGAAGCAAAAAACATGAAAACAAATGATGAATTACAATTACAGCACCTCAAAGAACAAGTTAAAAGTTGAAAAGTGTTTATTAGATCTATTTTTTTCTTTTTCCTTTTTTTTTTGGAGAGTGTGTATGCACGTGGCACAAGCTGGGGAGGGCCGAGGGAGAGAATCTTAAGCAAAAGTTCTATGCCCAGCGCAGAGCCTGACACCGGTTTGATCTTATGACAGTGAGGTCGTGACCTGAGCCAAAGAGTTGGGTGCTTAACCAACTGAGCCACCCAGGCGTCCCTAAAAGTTGTTTATTAGATTTAAAAGAAGCTTTTATAAAAGAACAAAAACAGTAAGGACTAGACATCCACTTCTTTGATAAAGAAAAACAGTAAGATTAGTGGAAATCACTGAATAAATAACAATGAATAAATTAGATGACTGATCCCTTATATATCTTTATTAGTCTGCAAATGTTAAGAGCTTAATATTGGTCTTGTATTTTTCAATTTCAGCAAATGTCAATGTGTACTGGAAGAACTGACTTCTTGGGAGAGTCTACTGAAATGGATTATTTGGTCCAACATTTTCTGTGCACTTAACTTTGGGTTTTTTGTTTCTTTGGTAAGTTTTTACTCTTTTTAGAAAGAAGAGCCTAAATTTATTAAAAAAGTAAACTGAACTTTCAATCAACACTTTGGAGTCATGGTTTGTGATTCAGTAAATGATAACAAAAAAACCCATGTCACTTTATGCCTCTTTTCTCTTTCTCAATTTTCCTTCTCTTCTTTTCTCAGTATATGTATGTATGTATTTTTTTCAGGCTACAGCTCCGTAATTGGGAAAACAGAGTGAGAACTAAAGACAGAAACACATCAGACTAGATCAAGTAGCCTTGTTCTAAGCTTTTATAACTCACTATACTTTTCCTTTATGTATTCAGCATGCATTTTTTTTGTGATTATTTGATTAATGTCTATTGTCCCTCTGGAAGGGTGCTAGCTGGTGAGCTCTTCAAAGGTAGGAAATGTGATCGCTTTGCTTTTGCCCCTTTATCCCTAGTCCCTGACATGGAATAGGCAGGTACTCAGTACATATTTGTTGGATTATGCACAAACATTCATCTGTCACCTGCTCAGATATATTGGTCTTAGGGGATGGTTTAGGTCTTACCTTTAAGATAACTCCCTGATGGAAAAACTGCCGTTCTATATACAGAATCTTTACAAGGGATAATGACATATTCCTAAATAGCCACACACTCATCCTGCATATCAGTATTTCATGAAAAAACAAAAATCACAAAAGAAAATAAATAGCTTTTGAAAATGGGAAAATAAACTATCAGAGACGAAAACTATAAATAAATTTTGGTTTATTAAAAGAAGGGGCAAAACTTAAGCAATAAGATGCTGAAAACCATTAAAATATGTATCTTACCTTATATTTTTCATTTGCAAATAAAACTGAGGCTCTGTGAAATTTGCATAGAGGGTTCTTGGGATCAATAACAATGGCTTTGTTTAGGGTATCCAAAGCCTTCTCAGATTTTTTCAGTGCATGCTGAACCTTTAAGAAGTAAAGATCACATTAATGTTTCCTTTTGATATTTATGGAGAAAGGTGAGAACCAAATACTGTCACTCAAAACCAACATAGAAATAGTAAAATCACTGGGGCATCTGGCTGGCTAAGTTGGTAGAGCATGTGGCTCTTGATCTTGGAGTTGTGAATTTGAACCTCACATAGAGATTACTTTAACAGCAACAACAACAACAAAAAGATAATAAAACTACTAAAGATGTATGGTCTAACTGGATTTTCCACAGGGTTAGGTGGACTCAATAATTGAATACCTGACTATTAACAGAGTATCTCTAAAGTCTCTTCCAATTCTATCTAATTCAACTGCTTCACTTTCAAGATGAGAATACTGAACCCCAGAATGTTAAATACTTTGCTCTGGGATCAGAACCCAGGTCCTCTGACACCCAATCCACCATTATCCATAATGATAATCCATACTGATAATTCTATCTGTAGAGCAGATATTCAGTTACTTTTAAGTCTAAAAGACAAGGAAAACCCTGGTTTTCCCTTCACAAGAAAATCTGTACTATTTAGCTAAATAATACTCACATTTCAATAGGTTTATTATGGTCCTCTAAATATTGGGCTTTGCTTTTTTTGTTGTTGTTTATTTATTTTTGAGAGACAGAGCATAAGCAGGGGAGGGGTGGAGAGAGAGAGACAGAGAGAGAGAGAGAGAATGAGAATGAATGAATGCAAAGCAGGCTCCAGGCTCTGAGCTGTCAGCACAGAGCCTGAGGCGGGGCTCAAACTCACGAACGGTTAGTTCATGACCTGAGCTGAAGTCAGAAGCTTAATGTACTGAGCCAATCAGTTCTTCTCCCAAAATGAACAGTGAAATCTCAAACTAACATAATTTCCTCACATTGTACGTCCATTCCCACAAAAGCCAAGCTTGCTGAGAGAAAGAGAAGGGCAAAGGAGGGAAAGAGGAAGGAGCTGGGTAAGAGGCAAGAACAAAAACTTCTGGTACCATGCTTACAGAGAAACTAGTACGAGATTTCAGAAAGCAAACAGACTTTTTCTCCTATCAACGTACAACTTATCACCCATAAAAATGGTGATCCAAAAACGGACTCAGTGGAATAATTGGAAATATTATCTACCATCATGCATGGATTTGAATCATTTTTAATATCCTATCCTAGAAACACTGTACAAATCTTATGATTAAAAAAATTACGTCTCTGTTCTGATTTTTGAAAGATATCTTTTGAGGCGCCTGGGTGGCTCAGTCAGTTAGGCATCAGACTTTGGGTCAGGTCATGATCTCACAGTTTATTAGTTTGAGCCCTGTGTCAGGCTCTGTGCTGACAGCTCAGATTCTGGAGCCTGCTTCAAATTCTGTGTCTCCGTCTCTCTCTTCTGCTCCTCCCCTGCTGGTGCTCTGTCTCTCTCTCCCGCTCTCAAAAATAAATAAACGTTTAAAAAAAAAAAAAAAGGTATCTTTCTATGACAATATCTGTAACATTGACAGGTATGTGTTAGGGCTAGTATCATAGCCTATTATGAATTTTTTGACCTTTTTTTTTTTTTTTAAAAGAAAGATAGTAAAAGCCGGACTCCCTTAGGGCTTCGAACTGTGCATACAGAAGACAAGTGCAGTGAACACAACTTTCAGTCCCGTAGCCAGGATGAGGCCACTCCTCTCCATTCCACCAGATACTGCGCCTTTCCAACAAGTGTCACCCAGCGAGCCAACACTTGCTATTTTCCACCATGTGCTCTTCTACCTGCAGCACCAAACTAACTGGGTATGACTTTTTTTAGACAACTGATCAACTCCCAACCTGCTAAGTTATTTGAAATCTCTGTGCTGAGTTCATCAAATTGGTAATCTTTGCCTTCATCATTTTTCTATTTAGTCCACTGAGTCAGTTTTTGTGGTCAGTTGTTACCAGATCAAACAGGTCATGTAGACAGAGGGTACAAGTATTTTGGGGAATGCTGCCTGTTACCAAAATGTTGGAAAAAATTTATTTCAATATCTTTCAAATTTCAAAAAGTGCAGTGGATAGAATGCCTACTAAACGACTGTAAAATACTAAAATCTTCCATCAAGCAACGTGTAAAAAAAACCCAAAACATTCAGCCTATAAAATCCTCTGTGATTACACTTCACTGTCGTCTTAATGTGGTCCTTTTTCTTTTTCTTTTTGAGTGAGAGAGCACTTGCGATCAGGGGCGGGTGCAGAGAGAGAATCCCAAGCAGGCTCCCTGCTGTTGGCACAGAGCGCAAAGTGGGGCTCGAACCCACTAACTGTGAGATCATGACCTGAGCCGAGATCAAGAGTGAGACACTTAACTGACTGAGCCACCCAGGTGTCCCCATCTTAATATGTTCTTTGTATGTGCATATACATACACATATGTGTATACATGCATTATGTGATCTATGCAATAGAAATTACGGGAAGGGGCAGCTTTGGAGTATATATCCTGTAATTCTTTTATGGGAACAGGTGGCAGTGTTTACATAGCAGCACTTCATCTTCAGGCTTGTATTGGGTGCTGTTGCTTGCTATCTATGAAATGTGTCAAACAAGTTTAAAGTTAAGTGTGTTCTGAAGAAAGGTGTGAACAATAGTGTTCATGAGCTTTTAGAATGCTTTTCACTTTCAGTCCTTGTAATCCAGCTGTTTAGCAGCTAGAAGTAATTCAAATAATATGAGCATTATCTCCTGCTAAAAGTAACGTTTTCAAGTTTCCATGGCATATTATGATAGTAAACGTCTCAGTTTCAATAGTAAGTCTATGGGAGTCCCGTGAACTTCCTGAAATGTCTGTAGTAACTGTGAGTTATGTTGAATAAGTGTGGCACGAACAAAGTGTTTTATTGCACAGAGTTAAATAGTATGTTGCCTGACAAAGCTATTGCTATTTTATTACAACGTTACCTCTTGTTTTTATAAAATGTACCAAGATTTAATTGATAACTTTATTTTACAAGTAAACAAAAGTTTCTTTAAAAAAATGGTGATCCACATCACCTTTTAAGAATTTTAATTAGTGGGGGGCCTGGTGGCTCTGTTGGTTAAGCGTCCAATTTCAGCTCAGGTCATGATCTCACAGTTCATGGGTTTGAGCCCCACATTGGGATCTATGCTGACAGCTCAGAGCCTGGAGCCTGATTCAGATTCTGTGTCTTCCTCTTTCTGCCCCTCCCCTGCTCATGTTCTTTCTCTCTCTTTCAAAAAAATATATAAATATTAAAAAAAATTTTTAAAAGTAATTTTAATTAGTTCTGGGGTGCGTGGGTGGCTCAGTTGGTTAAGCATCCGACTCCTCATTTCGGCTCAGGTCATAATCTCATGGTTTAGAGGGTTCAACTGCCCCACTGGGCTCTGCGCACTGACTGCACAAGGCCTGCTTGGGATTCTCTCTGTCCCTTCCCTACTCACGCTTTCTCCCTCTCAAAATAAATGAATAAACTTAAAAAAAAAAATTAATTAGTTCTGACATACCTATGTCACTCAGAGGTTAAAACACAGGGAACCATTTGTCTTGAAATATTAATTACTGAATTTAGGAGCTATATTAATATGGAAAAGTACTTTCAAAATATGAAGTATCTCATGTGAGTCTTACAACAACCCTAAGAGGTAGGCAAGGTGGTATTACTTGTCATCCATAAAGTAAAAGCTCAGAGAAATGGACTTGCCCAAGGAATGAGGGTACTCCAGTGGTTTCTCTTTATGCCAAGGAAAAAGGTGATATTTTTGGCTCTAAAATAATCCATGATATTGTTCCAGGAATATGAAAAAAAATAACAAAGTCCTAATTCTCACCACAGCGATTAAGTCAATAACCAACACATTTCAAAAGGGAGATTAACTGAAAAATATTTAGAAAGCTACTTACTACTCCAATGTGGCAAAGTAAAACTGAACTTTGAGGGTTGATATCAAGTGCTTTCTGGAAATGCATTTCTGCAAGGCTGAATTTTTCTTGCTTGTAATAAATCATTCCTAAGCCATACCTGAAAGTATAAAATAAAATATAAATTTAGGGATATGAACTTTTGGCTGCTAATTTAATTCAACTTAATACAAGGGTGTATATGGAATCTGGCATTTTAATAAACTAAAGAAAAATACTGGTGGTGTCAGAGAAGGCAAAAACTATCAGTCATGATAAAAAAACCATCAAGACATTTTAGACAAGTCCCTTTTATAAGTAAAAACAATAAATCAAATTCAATCAATCAATCAAATAGAACTTTAGCAATGAAGAAAAAAGAAACTACATCCTTAAACCCATCATTACAATCTAGATTTAACACCTCATTTTCACTAAGTGGCTAATGATGTCTGTGCCAATTAACTTTGTTAAATTCTTTCATTTAATCCTAGAAGGAAACAAAGAGGTACTGTAATCACTCATATTTTCAAATAAAGAAACCAAGTTTAGAGAAGTTAAATAACTTGCCCACATTCATACAGCTAATAAGGATTCTAATCAGAGCCTTCCTTTATGATTCTAAACTCTAAACTCCTAGTAATGCTACTTCCATATTTTTGGTGCAAACGCACGTGTATCATTATAATTACATATGCATAGATAGCGTCATGTTCTGCTTCCCCTCTCACTCACTGTATCAAAAATACACTCCTACAGACTTCAAATTATAAATTTGGAAGGCTATGTAACAATATATTAAGTTGATATACAGGTATTTCTTCTGAATTTTCAAAACCTCAAATGAACATAATGTGACTGATATACATTAAGGAGACCTTTCTTGGCCACTACTAGATAATGATAATGAGGAATAAGCACCAAATTAATGAAATAAGAAAAAAGCACAATATGTTTTCTTACATTTGAGTGGCTTTGCTTACCATTATAATTGTGTTAGGGGTGAAGAAAAGTTATACAAAGCTCTGCACTAACGATGGTGATGGTAGAATAACAAAAGGACTATTTATTGTGGAGTTGGAATAATACATTTCCTTAGTGTTTCATTAGATACATAAAATTACCTAAATACCTCAACATTTAAATTCTTCCTGTGAAAGCTCACCAATCTGAATACTTCTTTTTTTCTAACTGAAACAATTATTTTTATAGCAATTTTTGGTATGGTATAGTTTCTTAAGAACACCATTATTGCGGGGCGCCTGGGTGGCTCAGTCGGTTAAGTGTCCGACTTTGGCTCAGGTCATGATCTCACAACTTGTGAGTTCAAGCCCCGCGTCGGGCTGTGTGCTGACAGCTCAGAGCCTGGAGCCTGCTTCAGATTCTGTGTCTCCCTCTCTCTCTGTCCCCCTTCCCTGCTCATGCTCTGTCTCAAAAATAAATAAAAACATTAAAAAAGAACACAATTATTGCAATATAGGGCAGACCCAAACATTTTAAAAACAACACGAGTCCTATTCAGAACTGAATTACTAAAATATTAGAGTGCTTTATGTGAAGACAAGGCAGTGTCAGCAAGCCTGACTGCTTAATATGTCAGCAGAAGCTAGCACCTGTCAGGCCATCTTTCAGGTAATGTGCCTAACTTAGAAATGAGACGTACTCCATTAAAAAGCATACATACACAAATAAAAAATGTTTTAGTAATATAGTGATTCATATTTAGTGACAGAATGAAAATTCAACTGCTATAATGATTACTTCAAAAGATACAAAAAAACGTTTGACATAAAAACTGTGGCAGAGTTATGATATCACAATTATACTTCTTGTTATTTAAATTGTCAGTCAAGAAAAATATAATAAAATGTCAGCAGTAGATACAGCATTGAGGCAGAAATAAGAACTTTTTCAATGCCTTCTTAGTTTGTTAACTATGTGAGCCAGCTAGTAACTTCCTACATAGAGACATCACTTAATAAACTGGAACACTAAATTCTAAATAAACCTAATGAACTCAACTAGTATCTAATAAACTAGAACACAGCCAAAGAGCAACTAGTGGAGAGTTTTCAATGTTTACTTTCTATGATCCAACAGGTGATTACACCAGTCCTCTCCACTTTCCCAGTTTCTATCCTTTTTTTTTTAACTTTAAACAAATTTTTATTACACAAAGGTTGTCACATAAATGGATATTTCTTTACTTTGTATACAATTATTCTTATTCTCCACGGAAAGACTGCTTCTTAACTTTTCATTTGGTGATAGCAAGCACTAAAATCCTGATTTTAACAAATAGTAGTAAAAATGCTGCAGTGATTTAAGTCAAAAGCAGTACATTGGCACATGGCTCTTACATTGTTATCGGGAATGTACAAACGTCTTATTTAAAAATACAGGGGCGCCTGGGTGGCGCAGTCGGTTAAGCGTCCGACTTCAGCCAGGTCACGATCTTGCGGTCCTTGAGTTCGAGCCCCGCGTCGGGCTCTGGGCTGATGGCTCAGAGCCTGGAGCCTGTTTCCGATTCTGTGTCTCCCTCTCTCTCTGCCCCTCCCCCGTTCATGCTCTGTCTCTCTCTGTCCCAAAAATAAATAAACGTTGAAAAAAAAAAAATTAAAAAAAAATAAATAAAAATACAAAATAAATTATCTGTGGGTATGGACAATGATGGCAGTAAACCATTATATGTTTGTCAACTGAAACCAGTAACTGATGATTATAGTGATTTTCTTAAACATCAGCCAGCCTTTTCTTCAGTCATTTCCTTCAACCGACTTCTCTGAAGCTCTTAAGCACTGCCTTCAGCTTCCTGTCACAGTTCATCAATCATGGTAAAGCGCTATTCTAGGAATTCGAACACGCCACCTCCCATACCACATCCCATTCCACCCATTCCAGGGTCTTTCTCTTCCTTAGCAATTTTGGGGACTCTGTTGTACTTAACAGAGAGGCCACTCCAGCAGCATCCAATAAAGCAGTTCTTAGTTGGATCAATGATTCCCTTTTCTACCATATTCACAACATCTCCAAGCATAGCATCATAACCAGCTTCTGAGGAACTCTGCATAATTTTCTCAACTATCAATGATTCTTCAACACCTGCATTCTCAGTAATGGTCATTGCAGGAATTTGGAGTGTTATCTTAATGATTTCTATACCGACTTTTTGATCTTCATTAGCTGGAGTTATTGGATCCAAGGCTGGAACGCACCAAAGCAGGGCACAACCCCCTTCCAGAACAATGCCTTCTTCAACAGCAGCTCGTGAAGCACTGAGGGCATCTGTGACTCTTTCTTTTCATTCACTTCAACATCACTTGTGCCACCAACCTTCAGCACAGCTACTCCATCTGAGAATTTTGCCAGACGTTCATTCAGCTTTTCCTTTTCATATTCTCTAGTTGTGATATCTAACTGCTCATTGATTTCTTGGGTACGTTTTTTCAATTTGAGCCCTGTCACCTTTTCCTTTTAAGAGCATGGCATCATCTTTGGTCACAATGACCTCTTCAGCTTTTCCTAAGTCGTGAGGCTGAACATCTTCAAGATTTAGAGTCACCCTTCTTCTCCGAACACTGCACCACCAGTAGCAATAGCCATATCTTTAAGCTGGTTCTTTCTTTTGTCACCAAAACCTGGAGTTTTGACGGCTACAACCTGAAGACCAACTTTTAGCCTATTCAAAACAAACGTACTCAGAGCTTCTCCACCAGCATCATCAGCAATTATGACCAAGGGCTTAAGGTGAGCATTGGCAATTTCAAGAGCAGGTACAATGGACTGAACACTAGAAATTTTCTCTTCACTTAACAGTACATAGGTATCTTGGAATTCACATTTCTGCCCTTTTGATGTATTAATCAAGTATGGAGAAATATAACCTTGATCAAATTTCATGCCTTCGATAATTTCCAATTCATCATTTAGTGGTTTTCCATCCTTTACTGTGATGACACCCTTTCTTCCAACCTTTTGCACTGCGTCGGAAATGATGTAGCCAGTTTGTCTCCATTTGTAGAAATGGTGGCAACCTGAGCAATTTCTTCAGGGGCTGTCACAGGTTTAGACTGCTTAAGTTCAGCAATTACAGCATCAACAACTAACATCACACCTCTCCTGATTTCCACTGGATTAGCACCTTTGCTAGCCTTCTCGAAGTCTTCCTCGGCAATAGAGCTTGCCAGGACAGCAGCAGTAGTGGTGCCACCTCCAGCCTCTTCGTTTGTGTTATTGGCAACGTCCTGAACAAGTTTAGTCCCGTATTTTTATATTTATCTTTTAAGTCAAGTGACTTTGCAGCGGTTACACCATCTGCTGTTACTGTGGGACTGCCCCAACTCTGTTCAATAATCACTATTCTTCCCTTTGGCCTCATGGTAACAGCTACAGCCATCGGCTAAAAGGTCTAACCTTAAAGCATTAAGGTTTGGGCATCTGCACCAAATTTTACATCTTTGGCATCGGCCTGAGTCAGATGAGGAGCCAGTGCCCTGGACGCTGGCCTGATTTGGCAAAGGACTGCAGGTAATCCAAGCATTTCTGAAGGGCAGTGGCGGCGCGTGCGGGTGATGAGGCAGGCTGTTGGAGGCGAGTGAGGGACAGAGTGCATGGCGCACATGGCAAAGAGACCGTGTCCCCTCCCTCCCAGTCAGTGTCTATCCTAATCACGATGTCAGTGTTCTAAGAAAAAGAAACAAATCAAGTAACAAAATCAATTACTTTCAAAAGGTTGGTAGGAGAAAAGGTTGAAACTGTAGAGTATAAGGATCTGGTATTCCGTCATCATTAGTTAATTTAAAAGTTTCTTAAATGTATACATTTCACATAAAAAATTTGGTTACTAGTTAGCAACCAGTATGTACTATTCTTAAGTATTAGTAACTAAGTTCATGACAATAGAGATTTCTAACAAGACAAATTACTGAGGATCAGTCCTATCAGCAGGACATTGTCTTTGCACTTCATCAGCACTTACCATGCATTGTAATGTCTCGGATTGACTCTGATAGCATTTCGAAAACAAGCTAATGCTTTGTCTAATTCTTCAGTTAACACAAACTCGTGCCCTAGTAGAGTATAGGCATAAGCATAATTTGGATCAACCTGGATAGCTCTCTGGAAGAATTTAATTGCAATATCATGTTCCCGTTGCAAACTGAAACAGTTCCCTGCAGCACACCAGGCCTTTAAAAAAATGGAAACAAAACACAAACGTATAGTTAAAATTTTGTTTCAGTTTTTCTAACAAAACCAAATTTATGACTAAAATCAATGTTTTTTAATAGATACGGTGGATCTTCATTGTTTAAGGATTTCATATTAGCGAATTTGTCTACTTGCTAAAATTTACAGTATTTGTTAAACCCAAATCAACATGGAGTATGTTAGTGGTCACTGTGGGCCCAACATATGAGTGGTCCAACAGGCACAGTCTCAGATGAGGTCAAAAAAGGCCACTCTAGGCCTCCCTGTTTCATCTCTCATAGAGAGAGGACAGCAAGTGGAGGGGCAGCTCAGTGCAAGAAACTCTGGCACTGGGGCCAGGTGGACAGTGAGAGACTCCCAACTCTAGCACCTTTGCAGGGAGGCCTCAGACAAATCACCTTAGTGAACACTTCTGAACCTCGTTTTCTCTTTTATAAAATAAAGAAAATAGAAATCTACCAGGATGAGTTGTTTTTACGATTTAAGAATATAATCTGGGGGTGCCCGGGTGGCTCAGGCGGTTAAGCGTCGACTCTTGGTTTCAGCTCAGATTATGATCTCATGTGAGATCAAGCCCCGAGTCCAACTCTGTGCTGACAGCCAGCTTGGGATTCTCTTTTTCTCTCCCTTTCTCTCTGCCCCTCCCTGACTTGTACTCTTTCTCTCAAAAATAAATAAACTTAAAAAAATATATATATATAAAACCTGTGTGAGGTGTGTGTGCCAGAAGCAATGGTTCAGTCTTTGCTAACTCAGTGTTCACAGAAACTACTGAACATAACTATCAAGAATAATGAGAACTGAACTTTTTTTTTTTTAATGTTTTATTTATTTTTGAGAGAGAGAGAGAGACAGAGCATGAGCAGGGAAAGGGCAGAGAGAGTGGTAGACACGGAATCTGAAGCAGGCTCCAGGCTCTGAGCTGTCAGTACAGAGCCCAACGCAGGGCTCGAACTCACAAACTATGAGATCGTGACCTGAGCCGAAGTCGGTTGCTTAACCCACTGAGCCACGCAGGCGCCCTGAATGATTTTAATTCTAAGCTTAAATATGTTACAAAAGTACCACTAACGATTCCTGACATGCAATGAAATAGTATTCTTACAGGACTGAAGCGTGTAAATGAATTGTGCCTGTGTCTTAAAATGACAATTAAAAGCACTATTTTAATTAGCACTTTTTCCAATCTGCATAATTTCTGCTTAATGAACACCAATTTTGCTGACAACAGCAATGTTCATGTAGCCAAATCTTGATTATTCTTGGATGAAATACATGCTCGTGAATCTGCACCACACACTCTAGGACTTTCTCTTCTCTGAATCCCTCTTGGTCTATAGAGAAGGATGCAAAAGTAAGTATGGATGATGCTAAATGGGGTCTGAATTATTTGCTTCATCCCCACGTGTCAAAGGTGATCAAAAGGCAACTACATAAGCCAAGTGTTTCAGTTAACATACCTCTGGTGAATTTTTATCCATGTCTGTTAAGTCTTTTGAAAGAACTGAAAGAGCAACATCTTTCTGAAGATGCCAAAGTGTTGTAGAGTAGATCTCCATGCCTTCGACTCTGTAATTCTCAATCCTTCTAACCTCGGAAAATATTCTTTCAGCCTGAAATAAGAAAAAAACTAGTTAAGGGGAAAGCAAGTTGATACCATTTACATACATACGGGGAGAATACCGGGTACTGTTCTCATAAGACCTAAATGCTGCCTTGTTTTAAGCGCTGATGTGAATTAGCCAAATTGAACAGCTTTGACAATAGGTCAAACTAGGTATATACAAATCATGGTAAAAAAGTAAGAACACAAATTGTGAAAGCAAATCTATGTTTCCACCAAACAGAGGAGAAATCTATACAAAATTACAATTTGCAAAGGATGAGTCAATTATTTAGTTCACAAAACACACATTTCTAAGTCTTAATAATGGCTTCACAGAATAACTCTCTCAGGAAAGGTGAAACAATAATGACTTCTGTAACACAAAACTACTTTTGCAGTGACTTCTATTGAGAGGTTGAGTTGAAAACTTTAGGGGAAGGGGCACCTGGGTGGCTCAGTCGGTTAAGCATCCGACTATAGCTCAGGTCATGATCTTGCAGTTTGTGAGTTTGAGCCCCATGTTGGGCTCTGTGCTGACAGCTCAGAGCCTGGAGCCCGCTTCGGATTCTGTATCTCCTTCTCTGCCCCTCCTCTGCTCGTGCCCTGTCTCTCTCTCTCAAAAATAAATAAACATTTAAAACAATTAAAATAACAACAACAACAACAACAACAACAACAAAACAAGCTGTCATGAAAGAAAGAAAGAAAGAAAGAAAGAAAGAAAGAAAGAAAGAAAGAAAGAAAGAAACTAACTAACTAACTGTAGGGGAAAACCAGGTTCAGTTGGCCACCAGCACTGAGGCATGTTGAGTACTGAGCACAACCTCCAAAGTTGTACCTGATGGGAAATGTAGTCCCAACCTAGTAATTCCCTTTTCTTTTGCAGACCTCTCCTGACTTTAGGGTCCCTCCTCTGCTAATTTTTTCCTCCCTACACTCACAGCCCTTAGAATTGTTTCTCTCACCTTGAAGCTTTGGGTTATACCAAACGAATTAGTGGTTCCCTAGTTTATTGATTCAAAAGTTCAAAATTCTGAAAGTCAAGTTTGGTTTAGAATAAAAAATATTGGGGCACCTAGGTGGCTCAGTGGGCTGAGCACAGACTTTGGCTCAGGTCATGATCTCATGGTTTGTGAGTTTGAGCCCTGCATCAGGCTCTGACAGCTCAGAGCCTGGATCCTGCTTCAGATTCTGCGTCTCCCTCTCTCTCTGCCCCTCCCCCGCTCACGCTCTGTCTCTCTCTCTCTCTCAAAAATAAATAAAAATGTTTTAAAAAATTTAAAACAAAGAATCAACAAGATTAGGAGTGTTCTTAATGAAATGAAGATGGCAGAAAATAAGAAAATTGGATTTATAAAACTAGGAACTCCAAGAAATGGCCATATACTATGTATAATTAGCTTAATGATTTGTAACTTCCCTGAAATACCTTAAAAGTTACACAGGTAAGTTTTTCAAATCGGCATTGGTTCTAAGAAGATGTACTTAACCACAAGTCAAATATGGGTTCTGCAAATCTTTTGGTTTAAAATTTTTCAGGATCTATTGCTTCCTCTGAAAAGTGTGGCATAGACCAAAAACAAAACCAACCGACCAACCAAACAAAAAAACCAAACTCATGAAATTAAGTTGAAACAAAGGCTTCTGTTAAGTATCTGTGTCACTGCTCTATAGTTAGAGGGAAACAATAAAAATTATGTATTTTAAAGTACCTGTGAAACAATAAATCAGAAATAATTTTGGAAAGGGCTTGCCAAACACAGTTCTTGTGTACCAGTAAAGGGCCATTACCCGAACATGGAACTTCTAGCAATGAATAAGGCTATGTGTCTACAACAACACTTTTCGCTTTACCATGCAAAAATACTCGAGGTGGTATCTTCTGCATTTATCCTCTACCTGGAAGAACAAACACTTCACCCTCAGGTCTTTGCATGGTTCATGACGGGAGGAGTGACCTTTCTCTAAGCACACTTTTTAGAAAATACCACCATGTTATTGCCCTGCGATCTTACCATGCCTCATTTTTTACTTCCTCTGACCTAGTGCTACCATCCTTATAGATTTATTGGCTTACAACCTGTCTCTCTTACTAGAATGCATGCTCTATAAAGGCAAGCAATTATTTGTCTAGCTATATTAGAGTCTAGAAGAGGCTAAGACATAACACGCACTGAATAAATAGAATTGAAAGAGAGCAAAAGTAACTTTATCATAAACTTTAAATAATTTGTATTAGAGAAATTTTAATTAATATATAGGTTTCTTAAAGTTGTTTTTTTATTTTTTTAAGTTTAGGGGTGAGGAGAGAAAATGCTCAGAAGATGAACTAGGGGGAAAATTTAAATTGGAAATTAGAATTTTCTTTGGCTTGATATTAATACTCTCCTTTTCTGGTATAAACAGACTAACTTAAGCAATGAATATAATTAAAAGGGTAAAAGTCTTGTGAAGGACATTGTGTCCTCGATTATATAAAATTTTCTTCATTGCACTTTTCAAGTTTATTAAATATATTAAATGCCAAAAATTCATCCCAGGAGGAACTCTGCATATAGTAGAAAAAAGTTTGATTATAAACATGTTACATGGTAATATAGATTTTCAGATCCAACTGAGTATGTACAAATATCCACATAAGAATATATGGTTGACTTGGACTCTCTACAAATCTATTTCTTTTTTTGTTTATTTTATTTTTGAGAGAGAGAGAGAGAGCGAGCGAGAATGAATGAGCAGGGGAGGGGCAGAGAGATGGAGACAGAACCCAAACCAGGCTCCAGGCTCTGAGCACAGAGCTCATTGTAGGGCTTGAACTCAAGAGCAGTGAGATCATGACCCGAGCTGAAGTCAGACACTTAACCAACTGAGCCACCCAGGCTCCCCTCTACAAATTTATTTCAAGCAATCCCCCCAAATTTAAATTACTCCTTAAACACAAGAAAAAATCTGACTATTTATAAATTACAAATGCTCAGAAAATAAAGACATTACATAATAAATATTGACCTTTTAGGTCTAGCTGTCTCAAACATAGGCATCTTAATGAAATTTAAATTATCTCTTACCTGCATGTACTCTGACAGTTCAAAATAGGCCCTTCCAATTTGGCACAGTACCCAACCAGTATTGTAGTGGTGAGAAGGTAGGTGGCTCAAGATATATATAGCTTCTCTGCAGTTGTATGAGCACAGAGCTAAATAACCTTTCCCCATTTCACGAAGAAGGCTCATCAAACCTTCTAGGAGAAAACAATATAGTAAACAAAGGAGAAAAACACAGTAAAATAGTTTGGTTTTCTAGAAAGGCTAAATACAAAATAATTTATTAAAAATCCCAACCTCTATCTGGAAAAAAATGGAAGGTACTTTAATGAACATAAAAAAAAATTACTTAAAATAAGTGAATAAAATAAAATACAAAGCAAACATTAAGCATTGACACAGACCTGCTGCTGCTTTCTGCAGATTAAATGCCTGGATCTGAGGTGTGATTGTGGAGATTTTCCCTTCTGAAATGATGGAAGAGTCCAATTTTGTAATTTCCAGGCTATCATTTAAGTTAGGTTGAGTTATTCCTCCTTTGTTAGTTTTACTTTTAGTTTTTCTGTTTGGGATTTTAGGTGGAAACTTCATTTTTAACTTTTTGCTATTCTCCTGTAAAAAAGAGGAAAATTCCACACTTATTAAACTCATGTATTTTAGATTTCCCGATCCTTTCTCAAGTAGTAGACACAAAATAAATGTTCAGTCTTGAATGGTCTATATTTTTCTCAGAAAAGATTTATAAATCAAACATTTTCAAAGTCATTTAACTTTAAATGCAGCAATTCTGAAAATAAATTGTATTAATATATTAGTATGTAAGGTAAATCTGCATTAAGTGTTGCTCTTTTCTGAAAGTGTATCAGTTTCATTTATTACTTAAAAATTAGAAAATAAATGAATGCAATACTACCTAATTGTCTCAGAGTATTATAGCTAATAAGTCATAAAATTGTTGATTTGTTCATGTCAGAGTTAAAAATTGTCCATATTTGTCGATGGACCAAGAAAACTTACCAAGGGCGTAATGAGGCCCTCCAATTGTGCAAAAAAAACAAAGGACATGTGTTATAGTATCTGACATAACCATAGCACACCATCAAATCCAGAAGACTGGAATTGGTTTAATACTATCAACTAAACTATGTTCTTACTTGGATTTCATCAGTTTTTACATGATGAAATCATGTACTTCTTTTTTCTTTCTTTTTGGTGTGATAAGTCTATGAAATTTTGTCATATGTATGATTTGTGTAATCAACCACGACAGTAAGGATACAGGACTGTCCAACCATTACACAAAGAAATCCTTTGGGTTATACCCCGTAGTCACATTGTCCCTCAAGTCCTAACTCCTAAAAACCACTGATCTGCTTCCCATCACAATAATTTTGTCTTTAGAACAATGTTTTAGAATATTTATTGAAGGACCAAGAAAATTTACAAATGTTATAGACAGCTTTCCCAATCAAAAAAATATTAAAAAAATTTAAATAGTCTCTGAATTTATTCATTAGAGATGGGAGTCATCAATGAACTGAAATTTAAGAGAGGGATGTGTTAAGGAAATGTGACATACAGAAATCTTTAAATTACCTTGGTTGTAGAGCTGTCACTAGTAAAGAGTCGCGAACTTCTTCGAGGCAGTGCGTTTGGGGGAGACGTGATAGTGGGGCTCAATACCTGAGGTGTTGTACTAAAAAAAAATGAGGAAAAGTAGACATTAAAAAAAAAACCCAGCTATGACCAGTAACTATGGATTCGATTCAGATGCATTACAAAATATTCATTCATGTTTGCACTCTAGTTTGGTGAGTTTGGTCAGTCTGTCATCCCTCTATGAAAACTCAGGATTTAAAACCTGTGTTACCATAAAATGATGATGATTATACGACCAGTCTTCACTCTATCCGAAACTGCTAATTTGAACTTAAAACAATCCACATAAAAATTCTGGGTCAATAAATGATAAACACATCTATAAACTAATTCTTTCTAGCCTTCATTTGCAACTATACCAAGCTAGAGAAAAAAGAGAGTTGGACAGGGACGGTCTAAATGTGGGATATCTGCCAATAAATAAATACCATTGTAACAACTGATACTTGAGAAATAATTTCCCTATAAATTCAAACAACCACATCAAGGTTTATTTTGTTTAGAACAAAGGAATCTAACAACTGCTTGGGCATTTTTTTTTCTTTTTTTACTTTAAAGGCAAACCCTAAGATACAAGGATTCTATTCTTCAAAAGTAAGCAAACTTAGGGGCGCCTGGGTGGTTCAGCTGTTGAGCATCCAACTCCCGATTTCGGCTCAGGTCGTGATCTCACAGTTGTGGGATCAAGCCCTGAGCTGGGTTCCAGGCTGGCTGGGCTCACGCTGGCGTGGAGCCTGCTTAAGATCCTCTCCTCCTCTCTCTCTCCCTCTGTCCCTCCCTCACATGTGTGTTCACGCTCTCAAAAAAAAAAACGTGAGCAAACTTAAAACCTGGAGTTATCTGAGAGTGGGTAAGTCTACGGGCTTAATGGTTTACAATTTATGGGAAATACCACTAAGTTACCTGGATTTGAGTCAAAGAGGCTTTGGAGAATAAAAGAGATACTGACCAGTGAGTAAAGAAAGCCCACGTGGTCCTTAACCCTTTCAAAAGACAGAATCTCAATGTAGGGATTTCAGCAAAGGATGTCATTTAGGTTGATGAATTAATTTTATTTTATGATAATTTCTTTTAATTAAGATTATTTTTTAGAGCAGTTTAAAGTGATAGCAGGGGCTCCTGGGTAGCTCAGCTGGTTAAGCATTGGACTCTTGACTTGGCTCAGGTCACGATCTCATGGTTTGTGAGTTTGAGCCCTGTATCAGGCTTGTGCTGTCAGTGTGGAGCCTGCTTGGAATTCTGTCTCTCCCTCTTTTTGACTCTTCCCTGCTCACACACTCTCTCTCTCAAAATAAATAAATAAACTAATAACAACAACAAAAAAGGTTCACAGCAAAAGTGAGGGGAAGTTACAGAGAGAGCTGCCATATACTCCCAAGTCCCCACACATGCATAGTCTCCCCCACTATCAACATCCCCCACCAGACTGCTACATTTGTTACAGGTGATGAGCCTACACTGACATTCTATAAAGTCCATAGTTTATCACAGAGTTCACTCCTGGTTTTGTTCATTCTATAGGTATGCACAAAGGTATAATGACATGTATCTATCCATCATGGTATCTATCATACAGAATATTGTCATTGCCCTAACCTCTGGGGTCTGCCTCTTCATCCCTCCCCCTCCAACTCCTGGCAACTACTGATCTTTTTATTGTCTCCATAGTTCTGTCTTTTCCAGAAACCAATCCATTTTTAAAAGTACAATATTCTTTATTTGAACAACTATGTGTCATTTACATTACAAATGTGAATTATATGTTGTCAATACTATTACCTAACTATAGAAGAGTTTGTCTGAGAAGTGGGAGGGAATAGTTTGATCCATGGAGCCGTTTATAGGGAGGACAATGCTGAGAAAAAAGCTGAGACTTCTTAAATGCCACAAAAAGTTGTATAACATAACTCTTGTGGGGGTAGAAGTAAAAACAATAGTAAGAGGATTCTGGGGCTAGGAGTCTGAAGAAGACAAACTCTTCCTCTATTATAATTTTCATTAGGGTTCTGTTAGCTCCAAAGGGCAATTTGACAAAAGAAAACAATGTTCAAAGTCTGACAGGCATCAGAAAAATGAAGCAGGATACTGTGTGAGTTTTGAAACATTGGTCACAGCATGTGAAATATACATATCTCTTTATAACTTGCATCTGTTTAACTAGGAGCTTGAGAAGGAAAAGAATGTGCTCTAGAATCAAGACTGTTGAGGTGTGAGATCAAGTTCTATCACTTATTACCTATGTCATTATGTACCACTTATATTAAAACACTTTTTAAAAAAGCTTTTGTAAATAGTATCATTTTATGGCTCTGTAATAAAATCGGAAATATCCTACCAGTTATAAAAAGATGCCTTGGAAAGATTATAAAAATGATTTTTATAGGTTAATATAGAGAAAACGGTATGTAAAATTTTGGGGCAATTTAGCTAAGAGAACTAGGCTATTCTAATCATTTCTAAAAAAACAACTTTCTAAAAAAAGAACAGACTTCCACCGCCAATTGTAATGAAACCCTATGGACCAGATTTACTCTCCCATCTTAAACAACTGTAACACCGAACAAAAGATATGAAACAATGTTTTTCAGACATTGGACAGCAAGCACATATGCCTGAGGAAGAGTCCTGAGGACACGGTGCTGGGAAAGGGAACACAAATAGAACTCAGGGTCTCCCTGTGCAGAGAAGAAAATGCTGAGACTTCTGGGTAGTGAAGGCAACTAGAATATGCAGGGCAGAGTACTAGAAAGGGGAGAGCTGCAAAGAGGGAGAGCTTCAAAGATCTGCAGGAAGTTTTCCTAGAATCCTCAGCTGAAAACTGAGTAGTGCAACTGTGTGTTATAATAAGGTACGTTATAATAAAGAATTCATTTGGTCTTTGTCTTGGATTCGTGAGAAGAAGCTTCTAAATTCTTTAAATTTCCCAAGTGATAGGAGTGTCTGTTATTTATGGCAGGTCTCTGAATTTATGCTAATGAAATGACTCATGATGGGGCCCTAGACAGTTTTGGGATACTGGGCTGCCCATGCTGAAAAGACCAACCACTGGTTAGAGGGTTAAAGCTTTGAGCTAAGTGTTAACAGCCTGGTCTCTAGGAAGGGGAGGGTGGCTAGGGATTAAGTTAAATCACATGGCCAATGATACAATCTATCATGCCCATGTGATGAACCCCAATAAAAACTCTATCAAAGCTCAGTGCAACTTCCAGGTTGGCAAACACACTGATGTGCTGGTGAGGGGACATATCTTGATTCCACAGGGAAAGGACTTAGAAGCACTGTGTTCAGGACCCTCCCAGACCTCAGTCTTACTTGTCTGGTCCTGACTGGTATCAGGCTGTAAGTAGAGAACTTTCCTAAATTCTGTGAATTGTTCTAGCAAATTACTAAGCCTGAGAGAGTAACGAGAACCCTCAAATTTGTAGCTAGTTGGTCAGAAGTGAAGGTGACCCAGGAAGCCCCTGAATTTGCAGCAGGCAAGTCAATGAGGTTTGATAAGTCTTGTTGGGACTATGATCTTATTAGCCTGCAGAGTCTATACTAAGTCTGGGTGATTAGTACCAGAACTTACTACAGTATTACAGTGAGGAAAACTACCTGAATCTAGAGAAAGAACTACTGGAAAGGAGCTGGCAGAACCATTCTTGGAGCTCACCCTGGGCTTGGAGTAGCCCATATTTTCAATAGCTAGAATTAAGAAACCTCACACTCAACAGGTCATTGAGTAGATACTCAAAGGATACTGCCTCAATAGCGAAGCATAATTAGTCCAGACTCAAGGCCACTCTTGTCGTACCTAACAAAACTTAAAAATCAAGACCTAAAGGAACAAACTGTTAACAAGTAACTACATCGCAGAACAAAACAGAAGTACTTAAAAGAAAATAAAATAGTCTAGCACTCAACAATGTAAAATTTCCAATAAAAAAAAAAAACTAGGCATACAAAGATGCAGGAAAATATAACTTATATTGAACAGAGAAAAAAAAATCAATAAAAAACAGACCCAGAAATAACATAGTAAAATAGTAGACAAAAATCATTAAAAAAGCTATTATAGATATATTCCATATGCTCAAAAAGGTAGAAGAAAGAATAGGCATGTTAAAGGAGGGAAGCAAATCAAACTTCTAGAGATGAAAAATAGGATATCTGAGATTAAAAATATCTATACATACTGGATGGGATTAACAGCAGACCAGACGCTGCAGAAGAAAACATCGGTAAGTTGAAGACACAGCAATAACCACTATCCAAAATGAAACAGAGGAAAAAGACTAGAAATGAAAATGAACACAAAACTGAGCTGTGGGGACAACTTAACAGTCTAATACACATACATTTGGTGTCCTAGAAGGAGAGAGGGGAACATGACCAGAAAAAATATTAGAAGAAATAATGGCCAAAAATTAGCTAAATTTGATAAAAACTATGAACTCACAGATCAAGCAGCTCTCGATCTCTGGCCAAGAAAGAAGAAAACTACGCTAGAGCACATCACAACCAAATGACTTAAAAATCAGTGATAAAAAGAAAATCATAAAACAGAAAAAAAGAGATAGATTACATATAGAGGAACAAAAATGAGAATGAGAGCAGACTTGTCAGAAACAACACAAGCTAGAAGTCAGCAGAACATCTTTAAAGAAAAAACTGCAAACGAGAATTCTATATCCAGTGAAAATTTATTTCAAAAACAAAAACAAAGGTAAAGTAAAAATTTTTTTCTAGATGTACAAAAGCTGAAAAATTCATTACTGGCAGACTTGGACTATAAGAAATTTTAGTCTTTCAAGATGAAGGAAAAGAATACCAAATTGAAGTTTGGACCTACAGAAAGAGGACCAGAAATAGTAAATATGTGGGTAAATATAAAATAGATTTCTTTTTCTTATTTAAAAAAATTTCTATAGAAGATAAGTATTTAAAGGAGAAACCACAACAATGCACTGTGGAGTTTATACACATGTAGAAGCAAAATATATGCCAACAATAGTATAAAGATGTGGAGAAGAGCATGAAAACATACTGTTATAAGGTATATGATGTATATGAAGTGGTACAACATTACTTGAAAATAGACTTTAAGTTAAAGTGTATACTCTAAATACTAAAACAGCCTCTAAAAAGACAAAATAAAGAGTAATTGTTAATAAGACAATGTTATGGGTTGAACTGTTTTCCCAAAGAATATGTTGAAGCCCTAACCCCCCAGTACCTGTGATTGTGACTTATTTGGATTTGGGTCCTTGTAGATGTAATCAAGTTAAGATGAGGCCATTAGGGTGAGCTCTAATTCAGTATGACTGATGCCCTTATAAGAAGAGGGAAATTTGGATACAAAGGCACACAGGGAAGATGGCCATGTAAAGACAGAGGCAGATACTGGGTTATGCCCCCACAAACTAAGGAATGCCTGAGGCTACCAGAAGCTGGACAATATAAGAAAGGATCTTCCCTTGAAGGCGTCGGAGGAAGTATGGCCCTGTGAGCACCGTGACTTTGGATTATAGCTTCCGTGACCGTGAGTGAATGCATTTCTGTAGTCTTAAGTGACCTAGTTTGTAATACTTTGTTATGGCAGCTGTAGGAAACTAATACAATAAATGAGACAAAATGGAATCAATAATACAAAAAAAAAAAAAAAAAAAACAAACCATAACTCATACAAAATCATTAATAGTTGCTTATTAAAGTTAGTGTATTTGTTTAGCTTGAAGTGAAATGTATTATTCAGTAAATTACGTTTCCATATTCTTTAGGATTAGCATCTACTCAGCCTCTATCATGTTGTTCTGCAGGAGGCCTCAGGCTCCTTCTCATGATCGAGCCCAGGCAATCACTGTCATCTGTCTGTAAGTTGGCTCTCATGATAAGATTACCATCCTGGCATTTCAGAAATATTGAGGCCTTTTATATAGTCAAGGTATATGCACGTGAGTGTCTGTTTTAAGTCTTATAGTACACATTCACTATTTTAGAAGACAGAGCCGTACTCTTTTAAAACACTAGCTATGATTTATTTTTGAGTGCTTGAACAGGAAAAGAAATCCTATTTAACACCATTTCTGTGTGGAAATGGATTCATTATTTAAAGGTTTACCAAAAGATGATCTGTATACAGAAGTGCATAATAGGGGAAGAGGAGAATGAAATCTATTGTACTTGACCAACAAAGGTCATTTAATAAGAAGAAAATTATTTTGGAGGAGTGTTCAGAATATCAACTAGGGGCACCTTGGTGGCTCAGTGGGTTGAGCATTGGACTTCTGCTGGGGTCTTGATCTTGCGGTTCATGAGTTCGAGCCTCACAATGGGCTCATTGCTGACTGCGCAGAGCCTGCCTCAGATCCTCTGTCCCCACTTCTCTTTCTGCCTCTCCCCTGCACTCTTTCACTGTATAAAAAAATAAGCCTTTAAAAAAATACTCAATTAAAAATTATACTAGTCTTTTCAGTAAGTTTGAAACTTTTTTCTTCCTTCCTTCCTTCCTCTTTTTAAAGATCTTATTTTTAAGTAAGCTTTACACCCAATGTGGGGCTTGAACTTACAACCCCAAGATCAAGAGTCTAATGCTCTACCGACTGAGCCAGCCAGGTGCCCCTAGAAATTTCTAGTATGACATATTCAAAACTTGTAAGAGTCATTCTAGAATCTCAGGGAGGGTCAAAACCTGCCTAAAGGGAATAAAGTCATGTTTTATAGCAAGAAAAGCCAAATAATATCAAATAATGACACCACAATAAATACCTTGTTTGTGGGCCAGAACTTTGTGTTTGTGCAACAAGAATTGGAGTTACCTCTCGACTATTTCCGCTCTGTGAGAAGACAGACTTTGTTCCAGTTTGGCCGATTCTGGCAACAGACTGTAAAACACAAAAAGTCCAAGGTTTGTGAATTATAAATTGCACTGAAAATGATAAAAGACACCACGATGCTCCCATCTACATTTTCCCAGTGCAAGATTTCATAATACATACTGTCATCTGAAAACACAAATTAATGTCACAAATTAATGTCAATTAATATAGTAGGATTAACATCAAACTATTTCCTCACCTTAACATCAATATTTTTCTTTATTCTATCTTTTCATTTTTCACTTTAGTTTTTAAAGAAAGGCTCAAACTTCCTGAAAAAATTCCTAAAAAGCCAATTATTACATGTTCTCTAGGTGGAGCTAAGTGTTAACAAGAATTTTAAGACAGCTACTACTCTTAAGATTTATGAACATAAAAAATAACAATACAGGGAAGATTTTATAATCCTTCTTTGACACTTAGTAAAAACATTCCACAGTAGTCCAAAGGAATAAATTAAAAAAAAAAAAATCATCTCATTATTTCCCACATTCTAAGTATATTGCTCTTAGAATTAACATTTCTTCCTGGTGTGTTCAATTTTTCATTAATTGGTCTCTATTCCCATGGAGGAGGAAAAAAACTTGCTTGCCTCTTCTGTCTCTAATTTATCACCTTTCTTCTATTAATTTTCAACACTTGGCTTCTTTATAAAATGCTCTGTGACTGTTGCATCAGTGGATATTTTTAATTTTTTTTTACTACCAGATAATTTTCTTCCAAATTTACTATTACTTTGATAGGCATTGGACATAATTCTCAAAGTGTACATTATAATTAATAACTAATAACTTTCTCACCAGATAGGAAAGCCTTATTTTTGGCCTTTCCTGTATTCAACATCACTGATCATGGCCTCCTTTTTGAGACTGTATAACTTCCAAAATAGTATGGTGTCTTGATTATTTGTCCTATCACTTCATTTGCTGCCCTCTTCTTTCCACTGTTTTTAATTAAATATGCTGTGTTCCTTCTCTACCCTCTTTTCCTAGGAGAGCCTGGCTATTTTAATAGCTTTAACTACTATTTCCATCACCAGGCCATATTCTTTCCTCTATGACTAACTATCCAGTAAATATTTTCATCTCCTCTACCCCCGCCTCAAAATAAAACTTTACAATCCTTCCTCCTCTTCCTTCCCCAAGTTGGGAACTCTACATTCACCCAAGGGACAAAACTTAGTCAACTCCGGACCTTCCTTATTTAACAAAGGTGTACTATGTACTGCATACAATATTCAGTTTGATATTTTTAGTTGATACTACGTGCAGACCTACAAGTACAGCTTTCCTAGGAATGTCTTGTAAGAGCAAGGGCAGAAGAGGGTAAGACAGCAGGTGGCTTTATCTTTTGGGCAATGAAATCGCCTACCCATCACTAACTGTCCTTAATGGTTTTGGCCTACTTCGCCCGATATGCTAATTACCATCGGACTATGCCTCCCTGTAATTATAATAAACTAACTTCCACAATTATACTTCACTCCTATAACGATGCAATGGCGGGTAGTTGTCAACTCTTAAAAATGAGATTTAAAGTAATCCAACACATTAAGTACTTTGCAGCCCCTTTTTTACTATTCTTGGAGTTTCTATTATTACTCATTAAGGAACTATTATAGAAACAAAACTTTACAGACTCTAAGGAGTATTTGGAGTAAAAAAACAAGAATAAACATGTCTCTAGGAGGGTAAAGGGGCTGTATCAGTCACATACTAGTATGACTTATTTAGCTCCATTTCTTAAACATCTATTGAGCATGGCAATAGGCATTTTAAATATATAACCTAATTTAATTCTCACAGAAGGTAACTCTGTACCATAGATGTTTGAAACAAATGGCACTTTGACCTCTACTGCCATAGATCTATATAAGAGAACATTATTTAAAAAGTCTCAAAACTTGTAGTATTTACTATGAGGTTAAGGATACTGTCAAGTATTTTTCATTTTACTATACATTTACTATAAATTTACTATACATCCAAGAGAATCCACCATAAAAACTTTATTTTCAGAAACAGCTGGCTTTATACAAGTCAATGTTTTTCATGTTAATAATAGTACAATTAAAAGACAAATACAGTGGTGGGGACAAGTAAAACAATGGCAAGTATAGTTTCTGTTATTTATATTCAAAGGATAGAAACCTTTTTATTTTTGTTTAAAAATGGGGACATGAAAAGTACAAATCTGAGTCTTTATTTACCTACATGCTGAAATAAACTATTCTTGTGAGTTATGATCTTACACAGTCAAAGACCAATCAGCTTTGTATCTCCTGCTATAACCAGCAGCCTATGACAGTGATGACCTTCTTTCACATTTAGGTCAACAACTCTAAGGCAACAGTAAACTTATACAGTTAGATTCTCTCTGAGATTGCCTTTAACAGACTAGAATTTTAAACAAATTTCTTTCATCAGCATCAAAATTACTTTACACGGAAAATACCTTTTTTGAAGGGGCTCCAGTAGATGGCACGTCAATTACAGAAGATGTATTAGTGTAGTTTTGTAAATAGGATCCATCTCCAGGACTTGGGGTTTCTAATGGCAAAATCCCAAAACTGAGAAGAGGTTGAAATCAAGGTGTCAAAAAGTCATCAAGGCATATATAAAGCAGCAGTATACTTAAATTAGAAGGTCTAAAAGGAAGAGAATGGCAAATCAGTCTTGGGGGCAGTGAGGATCTGAGGGGCAGATTTAAAATAAGCTGTGAATGTAGACTATTCCACCCACCATAACTAAAATTAAAAAAGAAAAAAAAAATCAAACAAGGAACTAAATTGAGCAGCAACTACTGATCTCAGGAGATTTATTGGAAATAAAGAAGAACAACTTTGTAAAAGTGAAGATCCAAATGACCAAATTATTTCAAATTCCTGGACTTTATGGGATTTAAACGACACTGTTACAGAGAGAGTGTCTCTAGAGATGCTGAATCCACACATGGATTCAGTGAGCTGTTAATGTCACGGTCATGCTGTTTTAGTTAGCTCTCCGGCCCCGGGACCCAATTCCTAGCATCAGTTCTAGCACAGAATTTTTAATTTTGATACTTTGGGATATGTATCCTCTGGGCTGGATTCCTATATTTACACACATATACATATACGTCTAATAATTTTGACAAAATACTTCCTATTGATACATGTCAATTCTTCTGTGGTTTGGAAAACAGTACTTTAACAGTAACCACTGCTACCGCTCTGATGAGATCATAAGCATTCCAACATTCCAAAAGGTTCACTGCGATTCACTGACACACAGCCAAAAAGACAGTATCTTTTAACGCATACACTAGCTGAAGAAGGCATATTTAAGGGTTTTAAATTTTCCAATATTTAACATTAAATTTTTATCACAGGTATTATATTTTTAACTTCATTTTCTGAAAACAGAATAGGTCTATTACTGACTTACTAAATGCTTCTATTTCCATAGAAATTTAGAAGTTGCTGTTCATATTAATTTATATTACTAATATGAATTATTACAAATCATTTAATATTATAGCACATTTTAAAGTATTTTTTGTTTGTCTTACCTTGGGGTTAATGGGCTAAGAGCAGCTGGTCCTCCTAATAAGCTTCGACCAGTTTTTGGTTTATTTTGAACCTGTTTAGATAATATGGAAGTTCCTGTTCCAAGAGGGACAGTATCTGGTGAAATTACAGCTGAATCAATATAAGACACTGAGGAATCTGTATTCAAGGAGTACTTTGAATTGGAAGATTCTAAATTCAGTCTGTTTAATTCCTGAAACAGAAAATTTCCACCATGTCATTTATGATACATTTAGTTCATTCTTTTTTGTTTTCCATAATATTTGAACACTAGGATAGGATTATACTTACAATTGTGTCCTGGGGTGTTTCTGTAAGAACGGTCTCGGGTTGTCTATGAGATAAACTATGATTAGATACTAGTGTTGTGCAAGAGCTGGGCAGACAGTTGCTAAAGTTCTGTAAAGATGTTAATTTAAATGTTTGGTCAGGATCTGGCTTTTCACCTATGAAGGGAAAAAAAAAAATGTATGCCTCTGAGGAAATGACAATTAATCTTTTTAAGTATGCACATATCAGTGGAAATAAGGCCTCACCCAGAGTTTTAAAGTTCTCCTGTTTCAGCTAATCAAATTTACTTCCCCAAAGCCCACCTATCAAGTTATTACAAAAATTTTCACATAAAGCTGTAAATTTAGGAAATAAACTATAATAACACTATTTTAAATATAATAAATCATAGGAAAATGCAGATTTCTGTGCTTTTTTAAAGCAGAAAGCAACTAGATCTCATTTTGCTCCAGGTAAGGAGTGATGGTGCAGAACTGAAACCCAACAGACATTACAGTCAAGTTAGAAGCACTGCCATGGATATGTCCACGAGGTTTTAAAATGACCCTCATGCATTCTAGAGCACACATACTAAGACACTCTTCCCCCATGTTGTCCAGGTCTTATTTACATAACAGTTTCTGCTCCAGGAATTCTATTAGTTTCTTTCCTTATCCAGAAAGCTATTTTGCCTAGTGTTATACTCACAATACAACCCATTCTAGAGGACACAAGGCCACATCAGTCCTTAAACATGATTCTATTACCTTATTTCTTGTTCTCAATTTAACAGCTGTTAGCTTGGAAAAATGTTTTTCTTGTGAATAATTTGTATCACTCTCCAAGAATTAAGGAGCTGAGACAAAAAAGAAGAGGAAGCGGGGAACCCTCCCCTAGTCACCTCTACAAACCTACCTATTTCACATAATGATTCAAAGGGGGACCAGAGGAAAGGATTTAAACTAAGGCTCTTTTGGTAACATTCTGATCCTTTGGCAAGCCGATCTGTCTTGCTGTAAAGACAAACACATATATTAGACAAGCTGCACAACCCAAAACATCATAAAGAATTTTTTGGTACAAAAAATTAGGTAACTCCTATATGTGTATTTGTACACACACATACAAGTTCTGAGAGTACTCTTCTTGACACATTCCCTAAATTACTAATTTCCCCTTCTCACCACTCTCTAATCTATTATTTGGGGCAGTTCGAGTCAAAAGTCTGGTGAAAGCAAGCAGAACATGAATTGAACAGAATGCTAGCAAAATCAATTATCATTGCCTTCTTGAGTATTAGAATTGCTTTTAATTTGCTGTCAGAATCTAGAATTACTTAAGGCGATATGGACAATATCCAAATATTTCAGTCTTATTCTTAATTTTTAATGTAATATCCCAATGGTAATTTTGAAAGTGACTTAAATGCTTTAAATATAGTATATTTAAATGATCGGGCTTTCTAATGAAGTGGAGGTGGTAGCTCTTTAAAAAAAAATTTTTTTTTAAACATTTTATTTTTAAGTAATCTCTGTACCCAAAGGAGGGCTTGAACTCACAACCCTGAGATCAAGAGTTGCATGTTCTGCCAACTGAGCCAGCCAGGTACCCCGAGGTGGTAGCTCTTAATGGAAAAAAATGTTCTAAAGAATTGGGGTGAAAAAATTATCAGATGGTACTGGGAAGAAACAGTTAATCTAACTGACTTACCACCAGTTGTGTCCTAAACAGAAGTCTCATGAGCTATTATAGACAAAAAGATCAATAAGCTGTCTACCAAAATACTGGAGTTAAAAAAGATATCTTAACAAGCTACAGCTGCAAAACCACAACAGCTATGTATCCAGATTACTGGGTGCAATTTTGGTCACAAGACAGGCAAATGATGGCTGAAATGAAAAGCCAGTCTTTGGAGTAGAGTTTTCCCCCACTAGATGTTTAACCTTTAATATTTATAATGAATAAAAATAACCCATCCTTATCCTTTTTTAAAAAAAATATACTGTTTTAAGTTTATGAGAGAGGGAGACCATGAGTGGGGAAGAGGCAGAGACAGACAGAGAGAGAGAATCCTAAGCAGGTTCCATACTGAAAGCACAGAGCCCAACAGGGGCTTGAACTCATGAACTGTGAGATCGTGATCTGAGCCAAAGTTGGATGTTCAACTAACAGCCACCCAGGCACCTCCCTCATTCTTTTAAAGAAGGGGAAAACCCTTCTTCATGGTTAGGGGCTGATTCAACTCTACCTTCAAAACTTTTATATTTTTAAATGTTTATTTATTTTGAGAGAGAGCGTGCATGCATGCACATGTGTGTATGAGTGGGGGAGGGAGAAAGAGGGAGAGAGAATCCCAAGTGGGCTCCACACTGTCAGCACAGAGCTGGAAACAGGGCTCGATCCCACAAACTGTGAGATCCTGACCAAGCCGAATCAGGAGTCTGATGCTTAACTGACTGAGCCACCCAGGCGCCCAGCTCCTCTAAAACTTTTATTAATCTCGTTTAAAATTTTTTTTTAATGTTTATTTAGAGAGAGTACATGAGGGGGGAGAGGCAGAGAGAGAGAGAGAGAGAGAGAGAGAGAGAGAGAGAATCCAAAGGAAGCTCTGCGGTATCAATGCACAGCCCATCATGGGGCTTGATCTCATGAACTGTGAGATTATAACCTGAGCTGAAATCAAGAGTTGGACACTCAACCAAGAGAGGCACCCAGGCACCCCTAAAATAATTAGTAATACATAATAGTATTTTTGTGATTTTAATACTTTATTTTGTTTTATTAAACTTTATTTTAAAATAATTTTAGACTCACATACAAGTTGAAAAAAAATAAGAGTTCCCATGTACCCTACATCCAACTTCCCTCAATGACAACATCTGATACAACCATAGCACAATTATCAAAACTGGGAAATTGACAATAGCATAATACTGTAAACTAAACCACAGACTTTATTTGGGTTTCAGCAGTTTTTACACGCACTCATTTATGTATGGTTTTATGAAATTTCATCACACGTATAGATTTGTGTAACCATTACCACAATCAAGATATAGACAGAACTGTTCCAACAGCCCAGAGAAACTCCACAGCTGCCTCTGCACAGCCACATTCTTGCCTCAACTCTCCCCTCTGACAACCACTGATCTGTCCCTATCGTAATTTTATCATATCTATGTGTTTTTTTAAAATTTTTTTAATGTTTATTTATTTTTGAGAGAGAGAGACAGACCATGAGCAGGGGAGGGGCAGAGAGAGGGAGAGACACAGAATCTGAAGCAGGCTCCAGGCTCCGAGCTGTCAGCACAGAGCTCAACACGGGGCTCGAGCTCACGAACTGTGAGATCATGACCTGAGCCAAAGTCAGACACTCAACTGACTGAGCCACCCAGGGACCCCTATCATATCTATGTTTAATGAGAAATTCTATTGGTCTGCATCCTCACCAGTATGTGGTACTGTTTTTTTTTTTTTTTAATTTTTTAATTGAGAGAGAGAGAGAGACAGAGACAGAGAGAAAGAGAGAACATTAGCAAGAGGGGAAGAGGGGCAGAGGGAGAGAGAGAGAATCTCAAGCAGGCTCCACGCTCAGTGCAGAGCCTGACGTGGGCCTCCATTCCATGACCCTGGGATCATGACCTGAACTGAAATCAAGAGTCAGATGCTCAACAGACTGAGGCACCCAGGCGCCCTTGTCCGTTCTTATTTTAGCCATTTTAACAAGCGCGTAGTGGTTTCTAATGGTGTTTTTTTTTTTTTAATTTTTTTTTTCAACGTTTATTTATTTTTGGGATAGAGAGAGACAGAGCATGAACGGGGGAGGGGCAGAGAGAGAGGGAGACACAGAATGGGAAACAGGCTCCAGGCTCTGAGCCATCAGCCCAGAGCGTGACGCGGGGCTCGAACTCACGGACCGCGAGATCGTGACCTGGCTGAAGTTGGACGCTTAACCGACTGCGCCACCCAGGCGCCCCCTCTAATGGTGTTTTTTATTAGCCTTTCCTTAACAGCTAAGGATCTGGTACAACTTTTCATGTGCTAACTTACCATCCATATATCCTTTTTGGTGAAGTAGCCATTCAAATATTTCACCCACAGTCTAATTCCTTAGGTTTTAATTTTATTATTGAGAATTCAAGAAACAAAACTGTGTCTACCAAGTTTTTCCTACTTAGCATCTTACACTCCTTCTTAACTAGGTAGAACTGATTATTCCCTCCATTGGATAAAATACTGCTCGATTTTTTTCTTTTTTTTAAGAGAGAATGGGAGTGTGGGCTTGGGGTGGGTGGTAGATAGAGAATCTTAAGCAAGCTCCATACCCACAGGGCTCCATCTCAGGACCCTGAGATCATGACCTGAGCCAAAATCAAGAGTCTGATGCTCAACTGGCTGAGCCCCCCAGGTGCCCCCTGCTCAAATTTTATCACAGCATTTTTATTGTGATGATAAAAACTTACAAACTTTTGTTTACTGCTTCTCTCCTATTCTATTATAAACCTTTGAGGGCAGGGACTATGAGTGATTTATCTTTACATCTCCAGGACCAAGTACTATGTTTAGCCACAAAGGGAGGATGGACCTCAAAGTTTCTCAAATAAATGATAAAAAGAATCATAGTTGCATGAACTAAATTCATTACTCCATGTCTTTTTATTAAGACAAATGAAGATACTGCTACTGTATCTTTATTTACTCCTGTTCTCAAAAGAGTGATGTCATATGAAAATGAGCCCCCAAATTCAGGCAAATAATTTATTCTGTACAAAAAGACATTTTTGAGGTTTTTAAAAAACTACTATTCAAACTAGCCTCGATTTATCTTAAAACAGGTGCTTTCCTAATCCTCAGACAAGCAATCCTCAACCAATTCTCCTACAACATGTAACAGGTGACATTTACACAGGCGATGCACTCCCATGTGTGGATGAACAATTCCCGTTACCTGATTATATCTCCACCCTCTACTCCCCAACCAAGGAGTATTTCAGACTAAAAATGAGTGCAAACAATATTATAGTGATAACTTTGAATTCACTCTCCCTTGCTTTCAAAAGACTAAATTTAAGTAAGTGTAGAGAAATTTTAAATACATTTCAAATGATTTGCAGATCACTGTTATTTCAACAACCATCGTGGAAATTTCTTAGGACATGCCTCCAAATTAGTATGGCAAACCAGATGGGAACTGCTATGCTTTATTACTGAAATTTATCTTCAAGCCTTGTTCTAAGGAGCCGAGGTGATATTTAATATTAGAGAAAAAACTTCACTCATTTCTTCTTTTTCCTCAGTGGATCACATGAAGATATTCTCCTCACCCAAGGTGGAAAAAACCTCCTATGTGCACTCAAATATTAGGTAGTGCTGCTGTGGCTATCATCATTAAAGCAAAGCAGATAGTGACAAATGGGATCAACATCTCCACGACTTTATAAGTTTAATAAGGTCACAGAACTAAAAGACTGTACTCTTCAGCCAAGTGCTATTTGATAAACACAGAAAGTGTAAGTTTGTTTTTTTTTTTTTTTTTAACCACAAAGAATTCTACCACTGGAAACAATTTTCTGGTAGTGTGAATCACTGTTACTTACCAATATACATGTCCCAACAATGAAAGAGTAAAGCAAGCTGAATCACCAAACTCAGTAACAATATCATCATGGCTTTTCTGCTTATTAAACACTCCACCAGATAAGATCTGTTCCCCTTCTGCAAGCCTTTAAAACACAAATTTACAGATTAAAAAAAGTCAACATAAAAAGTACTGTGTGTAAAGACATCCTTCACTGCCAATGTACTTCCAAATATGGGGATAGATAAAGTACAAAGTCCATGGCACCTTTAGAACAGCAATAGCCATGTATTTAGAATCATTTGAAAGACTGGGAATTTATGGTCTTAAAATTCCAGTCTTGCCTTTAAGAACAGAACCAGTTAAATTGAGTCCCTATATGTACAAATGTAGTGTGAGCAACATACACATTACTCACGTCAAAAGAAATGGAAGGTCTTTATACTGGGGGAAAATGTGTACGGTTGTTCACTAACAGACGTAGTGGTCCTTTTTATGTAGTTCTGTAACTCCTTGAAATAGGAATTTGCAAGAGAATTTAATAACACTAATTACATGTTAGTGAAAAACTGCATACTTAATGGTCTCACTCGTTTTTAGGTTTATAAAAGAAACCCGAATAGCACTTCATCTCTTTTTATTTACCAATTATGTTTTCTTGATATAGAAAATCACAAGTGTTTCCCAAAGGAAAAAAAAAATACTTGACTTCACTATATATTTTTAGCATATCAGAGTTTATAATGGTATCTCTTTTAAAGTTTTTTTCCAAATCATCATGTGGAAAATACTCTAGTAAGTTTACACTGCATATCCTAAACATTAAAGGTGATATCTATATTTCTTCTACGGTCAGTGGGACTTTTAAAAAACCATGAATACTTGTAAATGAGATAAGAATGTCCAAGGTAAGAATTGGCTTAAGAAACTAGCAAATTAAATATATTTTTAGGAAGTTAGCATTAAACCTTCGGAGTAAAAATAATTCAATAACAAATGTTTCAGAAATTTTATAGATATTTTAAGCTAGTTTTTTAATTTAAGTCATCAGTTAGACACTGGACAAATACAATAATCATTATTGGTCTGTGGAGACTTCAGGAGGCTCATTTGTGTCCTTTCACTATAAACCTACCAACTACATTCACAAACACACTTCTGCGATTATCTATTTATCTAGTCCCTTTTAGCATCATTCCATCTCTTACAGCACAGAACAGAGTTTAACAGAAGATAACTACCTATATCTCTACCTGCCTCCAGATTCAGAATAGGGACAGCTGACATGTTTAATTGTAATGTTCAAAAGAAGTGCTCTCCTGAACCTGCCCCCTCGCTTCAAAGGGGTAGGACAGAGTGGTCTGGAAAGCCAAATAACTACACAACTACCTAGACATAATGAAGCATTATAAGGAGGTTTTCAGGCGTATTCCAATTGAAAGCAAAGGAAAGGAAGTAACACTGGGATAATTTTGGGAAATGACAGGAATTAGTTACAACTTAAGTTTCCCCAGAGTTAAATTCTATTATTTATTACCATAACAATGAAATCTCTCCATAACAAAAGTGCTAATGCCACAGGCAACAGTATAAACATTTTAAGTTACTGAAATACACAAATTGCTACTACCAAAAAAGAGGGGAGAAAGGGAGTCAAGAGTTTAATCTATCAAAAGGATTTTATCCAAAATTCTACAGTGTAAGTAAACAATATTAGATAGAAAAGATTTAAAAACTTACTTGCTGAGATCAACACAACATTTTGCAAGCAGGTATTTACACTGCGGTGTAGTACAACTGTGTCCTTTCAAGAGTCTATATGCTTTATATGCCTTTCCTGAGCGGTAATAACAGGTTGCCAATAAAAACAAGGCTTCCTCTGAGTGTACTAAGAGCACATATGAAAAAAAATGGCTATTATTCAGTATGTTGAATGGTAATCACTGTTTATCTGGCAATAAACAAGTTTAGCAACAAAAAATTAGTCATGTTATTTAATATAAAACAATCATTAATCCAAATTTGAATTGAGAAATACTTTATTGACAGAAATCTTAGTTCCCCAAGTCCTGATTACCTTCTTCTTACAAAGAACCAAGGAAGTAATACAATGAAGACAGTCATGGTATTTTCTGTAAATCCTTAACAAAAGTGCGCACTTGTGTGCACACCCGCACACTCACACCTACCTTTAAATAGACTACCAGTAAACGGTCTTGTTTTTTTGTAGTATTTTTCTAACAGACTCTTTGAGAGAACAGATGTCCAATTTCATGAAAAGGTGCACTCAGGGTTGCAAAGCTAATTACCAATCTGAGATTACTTTCTACGTTAAAAAAGGACCAGATTTTAAAAAACAAAAAACACTTCTTTCTAACACCAAATGTATACTAAATTACACTCAAGATAATTTAAGACAGAAGAAAAATACTAAATTGTGAATACCCACAGCATTTAAACCACTCAATCGACACACTTAACACTTCTACAGCAATGACAATTATACTGCCTTGCAGTGGCAGGAGCTGAATTATTCAATCTGTCCCCTGGTCTCCATACTAGGAAGGAAATGCCCCTTCTGTCCTAGTTAATGAAATGTGGCATTTCCCCCTTTATTTACTCTCTCCCAAACTGACCATCACTTCACTTCTATCCTTGCAATCTCCCAACCAATCCAGGTGAGAGTCTAGAGAGGCCAACAACAAAGGAGATAGAAAGAAAGCAGGAAAATCACAAATCTGTGCTTCTAAAAATGGGTTCGGTAATAATCTCAGTGGGTTGAGGGGTGTTCTAAGCCAGTGGTTCTAAAAGTGTGGCTGGCCCCTCGACCAGCACGGCATGACTTGGGAGCTTGTTAGAAATTCTTAGCTTCAACCGAGACCCACTGAATCAGTAATTCTGGGAGTGAGGACCTGCGGTCTTGCGTTGTAACAAACGCTTCAGGCAATTCTGGTGCATGCTAAAGTCTGAGAATCACTGTTCCGAAGTACAAGATAAACTTGCCACATCTTAAAAAGTTAACTTCACCCAAAGCTTGGGATAAAAAATTGTTAACTTCATTCAAAGTTTAGGATAAAAAAGTAGGTAATTTGAAAGATTACTCTTACACAGGTTTTTGGGTCATATATATGTATATGCAAGCAAAAACAGAACCCTACTTCTCTGGTCCCTCTTACGACTTTTCATGAAACTCTAGTATAAAAAAACAATATGCAATGAATGATATGGAGTAAATGATCAGGAACTTTGGCACACATGTTAATGGGGTGTACATAGTATTAATGTTTCAGAAGCAAAAAGAATGAATAGGGAGCTCTACTGTAGGGGGAGCAAACTTCTAATTTCACTGAACTGTAAGTGCTAATTCACACAAATTAGAAAGTGTGATTTCTTTTTGATCTCGCGATAAAGGCCTTGATTCTGGTCACTTTATAAATTAAGTTTTTTAAAAACTCATTGATTATACCAAAAAGCAATGGTTCCCCAAACCTAGTTAAACTTTTAGCCATAACAATGCTTTATCAAATGTTTTGTTTACAAATACTCGTTTATGCATAGGTCCATTTTCACTGCTTTAAAATTCCCTAAGAACATAAAAGTACCAAGTACTCTGTGTGTGTGTGCGCATGATTTTAGTGTGTAACTGCAATTACCTTTTTGAAGCGTGATACCTTAAAATCTACAAGTTCAAATGGGAATATGGATTGGAAGGCTGAGCACGCCTTAAGATTAATGGACGTGTAAGATATTGATGTAAATCTGGAACAACTTGAAGGGTTGTAAAAGACATGGAGAGACATGGGTGGTTTTTGAGGCTCTCCAGAAATAACTTGACAGTCCTAAATACAACCAGTGGGCCAGTAGTAAGGAGTTATAATAAAGCTAAGCTGCAGAGACTTTCAACAAATAGATTTTGTCTGGAACAATAACTCCAACCGATTGATAGTGGCTGCCTCGAGTGCTAAATTCAGAAAGATTCTAAGGCTGATCATGGCTTAGGTAGTAAGTGTGCAGATATCAAAGCAACAGGACCTAGAAATGGTTATAGATGTCTCCATGGCATCCTTTTATTTACCATCCTTTACTTAGAGCCTTAATTAAAATATGTGATTGGGAATTAGAAGGCCCATAATTTATTTTATAATCAGGAATAAAGTGAGAATTGACTCCAGTCACTCTTAACATAATATTGAGGAATCAATCATGTACTAATTAAAGTATGGTACTTCCATATGGTGAAACACTCACCATAGTCGTCCAAAAAAAAAAAGACACATATTTCCAGAACACACTATTAAGTGAAAACAACAACAACAAAAAACCCCAAACGAAGTTGCAGAATGATGCTGAAGTCCCTCTTCTTACAAACAGGCTAGGCTTCAAAAACGAAAGGTCATTTCATAGAAGTCCAAAATAGTTAGGAGAGGTTTAAGCTTGCATCTTTCAGATACATTTCCATCAAATAGGAAGGTGAATTAGTCTTTCAATGCTTTCAAGTCAGACAGACACCTCTTCTTCGTGTTGACTTACAATGTAAATGAGCAGACTTCCAAAATGGACCAGTTCTGGCAAGACTTAAAAGTTTGGTGAGGTGAGGGTTCTTGGTCTTGATAAACTCTACAATTATTGTCGAGAACTGCTTACAGGTTAAAGTACTCTGCCTGCTGCCTTGTCAAGAATTCTGATATTGTTAAGTATTCGAAGGGCATAGAATCTATGAAATCATCTATGATTTGTGACACACTTCATCCTGATTATCTTTTAAGTTTGTTTGTTTGTTTGTTTATTTAGAGAGTGCACGCACAAGAAGGGGAGGGGCAGTGAGAGAGGGAGAGAGAATCCCAAGCAGGCTCTTTGCTGTCAGCATGGAGCCTGATGTGGAGCTTGATCCCATGAACTATGAGATCATAACCTGAGCCAAAATCAATGGTCAGATGCCCAACTGACTGAGCCACCCAGGCACCCCTTAAGTTCTGTTTTTAAAAAATATTTTAATTTACTTTTTAAAAGTAAGCTCTACACCCAACGTGGGGCTTGAATTCAAAACCCCAAAATCAAGAGTTGCATGCCCTGAGCCAGCCAGGCACCCCAATCATCTAAGTTCTTAAATCAAAGAAAGGCAGTACAGCACATGCATTTAGGAGTAGAACACTACTAAATTTACAATACCTGAATAGTCATTGGATAGTAATGTGGGTTACATATATATGACAATGAGCCACAAGCTCAAATAATTCCATTTCATCACTAACTTTTCTTTTGCGAAGGATTTCAACTACCTGGATCCTATGCTTTTCAGATGCAGCATGATTCATTCCATCCTTCAGAATCATTTCTTTTGTTGAATACCTCATCTACATACACAACTTCAGTATTTTAATACTATTGCCACTTTTTATTTTCTCTACATTTGTTTATATCCTAAATTGCAATATTAACTGGTTTTGTCTTTATTGTATATGATAGGATTAAAATGTTTTAAAATACTTTGAAACTGTGCTTAGAGTAAATATACCACAGGTAAGAGGGCTGGAGGAAATTTTAAAAAGGTTCCTTAGTGTTTGAAGTTGGAAAGTGGTCAAACATAAGGAGAAAGCAGATCATGCAGGGCTCTGGAAGCGATCTAAAGATTTAGGGATAAATCCTTATAGCAACTAGACATCTCTACAGCATTTTAAGAAGGAAAGTAAAGAGAATGGGTTGATTTGGGAAGGGGAAAGGGAAGAGGCAGGGAAGAGCAGATATGGGAAAAGCAGTTAGGAAGCTTTTTTAGTAAGAGATAGCAATGTCTTAGATTAGCGTGGGAACATTATGAGTCCAGGCTTACACGCATTGAGTTTGATGTCTGTGAGGTTTGTGTGAAACAGCCAAGTTAATGCAATGAAACATTTGAGTCTCGAATAAAAAAAAGTTTGTTCGAAGACCTGAGTCTTAATCACTAACACATTATAAAAATGAAAACTATGACAATAAAAAAGCATCATCCTTTTTACTGGCAAGCATTTAACTTTGACAGTAAAAGGTTAGGCCGATGGACCAGACATCCTTTTGATACCCTCCCCTCCTCGCTCCACCCCCATATAACAAAATGAAATTTTTAGGAACCAGATATATTTATTAAATTTTCCAATAATGGCCTACAAGTGAAACACTATGCCATATCATTAGTAGTACTCTGGACATTTCCCCTCAATGATGCCCTTAATATAACCTGATAAACAATTTTTTCTAAAAAAAAATGGTGCCATTTTTAGTCACATATTTCTGTGAGTCTAGGCTCTCGGTATCCTGGCTAAGACAGAGAAGAGAAACAGATGCTGAACCTTTTACTCTGGTTCACTTCTCTTCAACTGAGCCCAATTTACTGAAACTGATATACCCAGTACAATGTCTACATCTGGGCCCATTAATCGTTAAGACAGGTAGAAAACTGGTGAATAATTTTACAGTAACTTAAATATGTTCATATTGAAAAATAAACATTTTGTAGTGTGGGATGCAAAATCTACATCAAGATAGAACATTAGATTTCAAGCAATTGGGAGCTTTGCCCTAGGACCCTCAGAATAATTTAGGGAATACATGTTGACACAATGTCTTCAGCTACTTCTTCTTCCTTGCTTTTCACCAGTTACAACTGCCACTCCCATGCAGTCTCACAGATAGCAATTCTTCATCTTTCCCCAGAGGTCCTGGGTACTTCCTTATAAAATATAATGTACACAAAACTTACAACCGGTTAATTTTCTGAACATAAATAAATCACCTCTAAGGACCTACCATATTTATTGTATTAATGTATTCTTTGTCCATATAATCTAAGACTGTTTCTATTTGTTCCTAACCACCCATTTCTATTCATTCTCAACAGCTAAATACATTTAATAGCAATTAAAAACCTTAGATATTGCAGTACTACATGCTATCTATTAGGGCAAAGGGGAAAGCTGAATCTATATTGTGTGTTAATTAGCAATGGAGAAAACCTTTGATCAAGGAGATCAGGTATGGCAGTGGGAAGGAAAAGTAGGTGAAGGGGATATGGAGGGAGGTGATACGATTAGGAGTTTTTCCAAACAGCAAGGCTCGATTCACTATGCATTGTGAAATCAATTCGGTGAATTTCAACCTGCATTAAAACAACAATAATAACACTCAGAGAAAATATCAGAGTACATCATATGTAAGAAGAGTAAAAAAAAAAAAAAAATCTGAAAAGCCACCGTAATAGAATATGCTAGGGGAGAGGAACTTGTAAAGGACTTCCTACGTGCCAAAACCACAGATTATTATAGTTAGTGCTGAAAACTATCCTGTTAAGTAGGTATCTCTCTTCCCAAGTTAAAGATGAGGAAAATTAGGCTCAGAGTAACTTCTTACTGAAGATCAAATGGCTAATGAACATCGGAGCTGACATTCTACACCATCTGGCTTATAGAACAGTCTTAGGTGGTCTAACTATGGAATTCTTAGGAGAAAGACAAATGGGTGACAAAGAACTAGTGAAATTGAGAAATTACTTCAAGAATTTGGCTTTCAATCCATCTACTTCGTTAGCCTCACGCACCATAGGGTGTCCTTCTCTAAAACACAGGAGCTATCACTAGTGGCATTAGGACGCCACTGAGCAAAAGGGCACCAGGTTACATGTAACATACCAATTCTCATCAACTATTACTGTCAGCCAGCAACACTGTGTTAATAAGAATTATGAGGCTGGTTCAACAGGAACAAGTAGTATGATGGATTAGTAATGTCTATTATGGGTCAGACTGGCCTGTATTTGCTGCTACCCTTGGTAAAGTGGAATCAGAAAGATCTACCACTTACTGCCTGTGAACACTGTTCTCCGTTTCTTCATTTCTAAAATGGCAATAGTAATGTCTATTTTATAGGATTATTGAAAACTAAATAAGAAATTAAGTATTAGAGTACCTAGTACATAATAAGAAATTAATAAATGTTCTTTAGAAGTTACTGTTGTCATTGGTATTGAACTAGGATAGTATCTGCTCCCATAAAATTTTCCCTCATAGAAATTAGACTTCAACAGAGTGGTTAAGTTCAACAGTTAACCCTTGAACAATGAGGGGGTCAGAGGCACCTACCCTGCAGAGTCAAAAATCTGCAGTAATTTTTGACTTCCCCAAAACTTAACTATTAAAAGCCTACTGTTGGGGTGCCTGGGTGGCTCACCTGGTTAAGCATCACTCTTGATTTTGCCTCAGGTCATGATCTCTGTGGTTCCTGAGTTCAAGTCCCAAGTTGGGCTCTGAGCTGTCAGCATGGAGCCTGCTTGGGATTCTCTCTCTCTCCCCACCCCTATTTTTGCCCCTCCCCTGCTCATGTTCTCTTTCTCTCTCTCCAAATGCTATTAAGAAAATCATAAGAGGGGCACCTGGGTAGCTCAGTTGGTTAAGCGTCCGACTTCAGCTCAGGTCATGATCTCACAGTTTGTGAGTTTGAGCCCTGCATTGGGCTCTGTGCTGACAGCCTGGAGCCTGGAGCTTGCCCCGAATTCCGGATCTTCCTCTCTCTCTGCCCCTCCCCCGTTTCTCTCTCTCAAAAATAAACATTAAAATAATTTTAAAAAAAGGGGAAAATCATAAGGAAGAGAAAATACACTTATGGTACTATATTGTATTAAAAGTCTGCATTCGAATAGACTCACATGGTTCCAATCTGTGTTGTTCAAGGGTCAACTGTATGTTGAGAGAAACTAACACTTACTGAACAACTTTCCAAGTGTCAAGCACTGTATCAAACACAGAAAGTGGATTAAACAGCTTTATCCAGATTCATCTGGAACCCTGCCCCAATTCTATGGGAAAACCTACTTGTTTGAATTTGAAACCACTAACTCACAATCTTTTAGAGCCTAACTATAATAAACTAGAAACTGCCAATCCTTTAATAAGCAAATACAAAAAAGAAAGTATAAGACAGCAAAACATGAGGGTTGCATAGGTATCAATGAAAATATATGTCAGTAGGTTTTGCATGATACACCTTGCTTTTAAAATATCGAGTAGAGTAGGGCAATCTATTGCATTATTTTCTTTCTAAGCTTCTCTCACCTTCTAAATCCTTTCACTGGGACCTCAGACTCCTGTTCCACACACAGATCCTCCCCACTTTCTTTACTGAATTTCCAGTCTCTCTTGAAGGACCTGACAGCACTCTCAAAGTGATGCTATTTCCCTCATATCCCACTTACATCAGAATCAAGGTAAGGTTTCCTCTTTGCTTCGTAAAACCATTTCCAAGCATTACTCTTTGCCTGTTTGTGAAACTCCCTGCTCCTGAGTTCATACCTTCTCCTCATAACTCTCAGCTACTAAATGCAGGACATTCTGCTTCATTAATGGAAAAATTCTGCACCTGATTCATGGTCTTCTGCTCCCATGTTATTCCCCCACATCTCCCAATTCAACCTCATCTAGATTTCTGGCACTTCTCTGAATCTTATTCACCAATATTCTTCTGTGTTAACTTTCCTATAGTTTACATTTCCTGGTCCATATCTTATCTGTATTTTTAATGTTCTTATCTCTCGTCCTTTCTGGTGACACATGCCTGGCAAATCCCTAAGATCTACTTTCTTATGCTTGCAGTTAGGTTACTAAGCACTTGCTACTAGAGTAAAATCATACAACTGATCAGAAAGGTTCCACTAGCAATTCATACACAAACATACAAAATACACAAAAATAAAGCTCATCTACAACCACAAAAAAAATGGAAACTCTTGGCAAGTAATCCAATGGGAACATACACAGAAAGTACAAAAACTGAATTAAGCAAACAAACACCTGAGTAAAAAGAAGGCAGCACTATTTCTTCTTGGGAAGGCTATCTATAGTAATTTAGAGAATTATATGTTTGCAGGTCAGCATTGATCAAAATCTTTGTGAAATTTCAAAGCAATAGTAAAATAGACATAGAAAAATAAAGGATAAAAAAAGGGGAAAGACTTCTTATGAATGAATTGGAAAGAAAAAAATGATGGGCGATAGGCCTTATGAAATATTAAAATATAAAGTGTTAAAAATGGTATGGGGGTGCCTGGGTGGCTCTGTGGATTGAGTGACAGACTCTTGATTTTGGCTCAGGTCATGATTGCAGGATAGTAGGATCAAGCCCCATGTTGGGCTTCATGCTAAGTGTGGAGCCTACTTGAGATTCTCTCTCTCTACCTCCCTCCCCCCCTCCCCGATTTGCACTCTCTCTCTTTAAAAAAAAAAAAAGGCATGATATTGGATTAAAAACAGAAAATTAACTAATGGAAGAGAGGAGAAATTCTGGAGACAGAACAAAGCGTTTTTTTGTTTTTTTTTTTTAAGTTTATTTATTTATTTTGAGAGACAGAGCAAGCATGAGCAAGGAAGGGGCAGAGAGAGAGGGAGACAGAGAATCCCAAGCAGGCTCCATGCTGTTGTGGAGCCTGACACAGCGCATGACCCCACAAACTGAGAGATCAAGACCTGAGCCAAAACCAAGAGACTGATGCTTAACTGACTGAGCCACCCAGGCACCCCAGAACAAAACATTTTTTAAAAATTTAATATAAAACCAAGTAAAACACCATGCGGGAGGGAAAAAAGCATTGTTTAATATACAATATTGAATAAATTAAGTAATAATACCATGATAAATTCTTTAAAGTTTTTTAACCATCAATAACCACATATTAATTGTAGTTGTAGAAAGATGACTTTTCCACCTACTGAAGCAATAGAAGAAAGTATAAATGATAAAGCAGATGAGGTCAACTACATAAAAATTTTAAACATACCAATAGAATTAAGATTAAAAAGCAACAATCTGGGTCAAATAGACAATAAAGATATACCTCATAGAACCAGGAATAAATTTAAAACAAACACTTGAGAAAATACCCAGAATCCCTTGTAGTTATAAAAATGCAAGACAAAATATTTCATAATTCTCAAGCAAGCAAAAATACATTAAATTGATCAAATCTAATACTGAAAGGATTATGAAGGAAGTCTTATGGTGTTGGTCACACCCCAGATTATTTTACCCTTCTCTCTGCTGGGTTATCAACCGGGGAAAAAGTAATTTGTTGTAGAACTGATCACCGTTTGACTTGTAAGTTCCATTCTAGAATATATAGCCCCACAAAATGACATATAAAAGAAAAAAAAAAGCTGTACCTAATTATCTGTATTAGCATCTTAGAAAGAGAATTACAAGAATTAATGACAGAAACAAAGCATACATAACCAGCACATGTTTATCGAACATTTATTACCATGCCAGAAGGCTGTGCCAAGTGCTTTAAATACATTATCTCATTTCACTCTTCAACGTTCTCAAGCGATTATCGTTAACTGTATTTTATAGATGAGAACTCTGAAATACTCAGACACTGAGTGACTGTCCAAGGTCTACAACTGCATAAGTGACAGGGTGAGGGTTTATACCAAAGCTATAGACTAAATTCATGCTCTTAGCTATAGAATATAGACTCTTTTAACAGAAAACCTAGACAAAAATATCTAAAGATTGGAAAATGATTAAGTAAACCATAGTGTAAAACCTGAAACAACTCTACAGTTATTAAAAGTAGCACATAAGGGAGATAACAGATGCAAGGAAAAGTTTTTATGAACTAGTACCAATCATAAAGAAACAACAAAAGCAAATCCCCAGAATCTTGTTATATTGAAGTCATAGGCAAGGACAGAATTCCATTTATTTTATTCCTTTATTGTTTTATAGAAATGAACAGATTACAAACCTTCTGCATACAGTCGTTCTGCAAGAAAAACTGCATCTCGGTAAGCATAGTGGTTTAGTGCTTGCCATATAGCAGCCTGAAAGTAGAGGGAAAAGAACATAAGTACACAAATACACAGTTTCAAAGTAACGCCTAGCGAGCCTGACATATTGTAATCAAATCAATGACCCTAATTTAAGTAATAAAGCAAAACCTCAATGTCCATAGTGCAAACTCCATGGCATGTTACACAAGGCTCTTCACAGTATGGCTCCTAACATACCTGAATTTACTCACTCAATTCTCCATGGACATTTAGGCCTCTGTGCCTTTTTGTACTTCCTCTTCCCCCACAGAGGAATGGAGGCTCCCTCACATACCTCCTTTTACAAATTGCTCATCCTTACAGACCCAGCTTAATTAACATCTACTTCATGAAGGTTTCCTGGCTGACTCCTAACCTTTTTTTTTTTTTTTTTTTTGGTAAACATTATCTCTTCTAGTGGCGCACTCATATTTTGTTGCAGTTATATGTTTATGGGTCTGCCCACCCCACTAAACTACACTGCTCTAAACTAACAACGGTGGTTTAAACAATTTTTCACGATATGCATGAAATGTCATCCTCCACAAAAACTTCCCCACCTATTTTTTAAAATTTTTATTAAAAATTAAAATAAATAGTCTATTTTAGTGATTGTCCTAGGGTTTACAATACACATTTTTAAATTATCTGAATTTAAATGCAAATAACATTATACAGAGCCACATGTAGTATAAAATCCTTGTAAAAGTACATAATCAATTCTTCTCTTCCACCCCCTGTACTAGGTTTGTCATATATTTCAGTTTTCTATATAAAAGCAAAATATTTGAATACAAATTTTGTTTTAAAAAGTGGTTACTTCTTACAACAATAAAAAAATGAGAAAAATGTAAAAAAAATTAAAAAAAAATTTTTATTTGAGTGTACGTACTAATGAGTTGGGGAGAGGGACATGGGGTTGGGGGGAGAGGGAGGGAGACAGAAAGAGAATCCCAAGCAGCCTCCATGCTCTGACCCAGATCATGAGATCATGACCTGAGGTGAAATCAAGAGTCAGCCACTTAACTGATAGAGCCATCCAGATGCCTCTCCACCTATGACCTTTAAAGCAACCCTATTCTCACCCACCCAAGGAAGCATATTGGGAGACATATGAACAAACTATAATAGCACTAATCTTTAATCTAGGTGAATATATTTTTCTTTTTCTAAAGTTATAAAACATAGCTATAAAGTATATAACAGCTAGAATGACATTTTAATTAATAATAAATGAAAACATTTAGACCCATGTACTCACTATCCAGCTCAAGAAATAGATATTACCAATATATTTGAAGCCCTCTCCCACAGGTGCTCATCAGTCACATAACCTCTCTGAAACCACCACTCTGAATTTTGTTAATCTTCAGGTTTTCTTTACAATTTTTATACATTTGTATGTATGTATCATCCTTAAGCAATGCGACACTTTTCCCGGTTTCTGAATTTTTAAATAAATACAAGCATGTTGTATATATTATGCTATAATTTGCTTTGAAATCCAATATTTAAAAAATTCATTCTCAATCTGTGTAGCTAGAATTCATTCATTTTGATTGCAGAATAAATAATATTTCCATTGTAAAAATACATCAAAATGCATTTTATCTATTTACAGTATATGAACATTTGGGTTATTTCTAGTTTTTTTCCAGTTATAATAATGCTGCAAGGAACATTCTTATATTTATCTCTTAGGGTACCTATTTAAGAATCTCTCCAAATTGGGATATATACTTAAGAATGAAATTATGGGGTTGTTGAGTTCATGTTCATACACAGGTTCATCTTTACTAGGTAATACAAATCATTTTCAAAGTGTGGGTTTAATTTACACTCCTACCAAAAACATATGACTACTCATTATTCCACATCTTTGTCTACACTATGTACTATCAAAAAAATTTTTGTTTATTGACTGATTGATTGTAATCTCTATCCCTCTCTCTATGTGGGGCTTGAACTCATGACCTTGACATTGAGTTGCAGGCTCTAATGATAGTCAGCCAAGTGCCCCCCAATTTCTTATTTTTACCAGTCTGACAGATGTAAAATGCTTATCTAGTGCCTTTAATTTGCATTTCTCTGAATATTAAAATGAGTTCAATGTGTTCAACAGTAATTTATTTCACGTTTATTGGTCTTCTGGCAAATGCCAATTCATGTGTCATTCATTTTTCTGTTAGATGATTTACCTTTTCTTACTATTTTATCCAGAATTTTTGAGAGCATTAAACCAGAGAGGTTTTTTTGTTGTTGTTGAAGTTTTAATGTATCATATAACACTAATTTTAAGTCTGTTATATAAATTATGTATCTGTAAATTATGTGTTTACATATATTTATGTTTTGCCTAGCATTTTTAGGAGCACACCACCATAGGAGTTTCTTTTAATCTTTCTGGGTTTCTTTTTAACTTCTGGTCTATCACAAGATATAAAAGTCACCAATTGATTAAAAAAATCATCAACTCACAAATTGAGATATCTTACAAGTGATCATGATACAACAGTGTTTATTTTTAGCCATGTATACAGCTCATAATTTGTTGAACAGTTTAATAGTTACAATAAAACCAGCATGGTGGGATTACCTAATGAAACCACTAGCGAACACTGTAACAGTAAAGCTAGATTACATTGTAACAAGTGATTAATATGCCTTGGCTATAGTACAATCTCAAATATTTGAATGAAAAAGCAAATGTTTACTAACATTTCTATGAGTATTATTAACTATAATTTTTTATATTCAAAGTCCTAGTAGTAGTTGATGACTTACTTAGCCCAAGGGTGTAGTTTTCTATTTTCTCATGGGGTCTCTGGAGCCTCTTGTTTAAGCTTACTTTCTATACAGTCTAAATTTTTTTTTTTAATTTTTTTTCAACGTTTATTTATTTTTAGGACAGAGAGAGACAGAGCATGAACGGGGGAGGGGCAGAGAGAGAGGGAGACACAGAATCGGAAACAGGCTCCAGGCTCTCAGCCATCAGCCCAGAGCCCGACGCGGGGCTCGAACTCACGGACCGCGAGATCGTGACCTGGCTGAAATCGGACGCTTAACCGACTGCGCCACCCAGGCACGCCAACAGTCTAAATTTTTTAAAGTCTCAGGACTGTCTAATCTGACCATTTCCATCCAGGCACAACGGAAAGGAAAAAGGTGGGAATTTAAATTTAATTCAAATTTAAATTTAATTTAATAATCTATACTATCACAGGCAGCATTTTTCCCTCTAACGTTACCGTTCTTAATCTAGTCATTTCCTACCACTTTGAGAATATCTAAAACTGCTATTCAAAGTGTGGTCCTTGGAGCAACAACACTAATAACTTCTGGAAGTTTTCTGGAAGTGTGGAATCTCAGACCCAATCGTAAACCTACTAAATCAGAATCAGCATTATAACAAGATCCCCGGGTGATTTATATGCGTATTAAAGTTTGAAAAGGACTGATCTAAAAAAGATTTATTCTAATTAAAAATATCCCTGCTCAGCAGATTCCCCAAAGTCAAAGAGGCTGTCTCATCTGTTAATTCAAGATGTTATGAATAAAATACTTTCTAATCCTTCAGGCCATGGCCCTTAGCTTTAAAAGAAAGGCTTGAGTTACTCAAGTTCCAAAACCTCTTGTTTGTAGGTCTTCATGTTCCTTCTTGACCCTTATCCATTTCTTATACCTAATAAAACAGCCTACATATTAATAGAAATGAATCCCAATATCATCTCCTTTCATAATCCACCCAAATTAGTTGCACTACAAAGAAATCTCCCTCTGGTCTAAAACGTACCATCTCATTCTCCCTCAAAGATTTTCAGAAGTAGTCGGCACAACCAAAGGATCTCAACAGTATACATAAAAAAATAAGAGAAATCCTAGAATTTTCAGATACTTATAGACTCTGTACTGAAGATAATTTGCTGTCCCAAAGCCTGACTGACCACCCCTACTCATAATTTCCAGAAGGCAAAGGGGTTCATGCAATTGTAATTTTGCCACACTTCAGTTCTCTGCTGGCTGCCACATATGCTTGTTTCCATATGAATTAATCACACAGTGCCCCTCAATCTCATAGAAAGGAATACTTAAAAACTGAAATATCATACTACACTAAAAAAACTCATTAGCAATTGGAGGGTCCTCTCTATTACTTGGGAAGCAAAATAGATGGGAAGAGAAAAAAGAGAAGGCCGTGAATACCAATGGGATTTGCAAAGGAGCGCTGTTATATCACTGTATGATTCTTCCCCAGTCAGAGCCACCTAAATAAAGAAGATACCAAAGACAAGCTGTGCTGAAACAGCCAGAACCCCCAATAAAAATGTTGCATATTGCTGCTAACAATTCTTCCACGTACCATTAACCAAGGATCTGAGGTTCCTGCTCCTTATTACTCCTTGACTTTATTTCTGGTAACATTTGCCTGTGATGGGTATCAACAACAGCCTCAGCTATTTAGAGTACAAAGGTAGACTATGATTGTGTGAGGAAATTTTTTTTTTTTTTTTTACTGATTCCAGCATGACTTACTATGACTGAAAACCAATGGTGGGGGAGGAGGGTAGTGGTGTCTTTTTTAACTTTTCTGAACCGGAGAGTTCTAGTACTCATTCATTCAATAAATACTCATTGAGTACCAATTATGTGCCAGGCACTGAAGCCTCTATCTACAGCAATTAACAGATAGTTTCTGTTCTCATGGAGTACCTTTTAGAGCTACTCCTGTCTAGATCAGCGGCTACCAATCCTTGCTTGACAATGCTCTACCTCAAACCCACTGCATCACAATCCCTGGAAGCTGGGACTGAGTTTAGATGTCTTTATTTTGAAACCTTTTCACTGGTAAGCATTCAGGCTCAGAATCATTCTTCTACTTTTCTAGATAAGTAGCTCTCCTTCCTTTTACAGAACCCTCTTGTGTAAAAACTTATAAAAGCTATGGACCTCTTTTCCAGAAAAAAGCACATGTACATATATATACAGAAAATCTGTGTACAATGTTAGGGGTT